ACATCCTAAACCGATTTGGTCAGTAGTGTCGAGAAAGCCAAGTGTGTACCTACTACTATACCGTTCTCGACACTTTCTTATAGGTAGAGAACTCTATACCGAAAGGTCTACATTCTTAGCGTGGATATTTTTTTATATCTTTTTTTTCTATGCAGGCTTCTCGTCTGTTTCTACGGCTTTGCATCAGCATCAGGGCTGGAGTTTGGGTTTTAATGGTGGTCTGGCTAGTCGCAAATAATGGGGACTTCTGGTTTTTGTCTTCGAGCCGTGTCGCCTAAAGCTTACTTGCATAATGCTCGATTACATATTATCGTCTGATGGGTTAGTGGCATAGCTGCGACCGGAATTCTTTGTACAAAACACCGGTTCCCAACTTTCAGACGTGCGGGAAACTCAACTTAGGGATACGGGTTTCTTTCTTTCTTCTATTTTCCTCTGCTTTCTCCTTTCCTTGGGAGCAATTATAAGAGATGGTCGGTCGGTTGGGGGTTCCTCATATTATTTATAGTCAAGAGTTGGGTTATAGATATGGGCTTGGGAACCGATCGACAGACTTACCCGCGTCCGACGGATGCAACAAACAACCTACCTAATCATAATATGTAGGGAGGGAGGGACGTGCCAGAGGTCGTCTGAGGGCTATCCGGAGGACCTTGGACAGTTGATAGAGACGGAAGGAAGTAATATGGATTTTGTTCCCCCCCCCAAGCAAGGGGGGAATGTGGCGCGCTTTGGCTGGCTGGATAGGCAGATGGCGTCTCGGCTTTACGTAGCTGGGGTAGCCTAGATCGCAATAAACTTACGTTGAAATATTCTAGTTACGTTTTATTAATACCTAAAACTAGTATGACTTACTTACATTTCAGAGCCCAACTCTTCACATGTATTCTTCACAACCCGGGGTTTGAAACATAAAACTACTCTAAAGTGTGAGTGCACTGGTGTCAGATAAGTCTTAGCTCAGACAATACACCAACATTATTGAAATTCTACTGTAAGAAAAAGTCTATTGCCGTCTGAGTCTATCTACCTGTGCCCTAGCAGGAGCCCCCAAGTCTTTACCAATCCCGGTCTATTAAGAAACAAACCCATAACGCCCGCGCCCCCAGGGCGCCTTACTTATCCCCTAGTTCCCCCGTCATAAATAGGTATCCTGTGGAAACCCACCCAACAACACGCTTCAACACGAACACCGAAATATTACACAACATGCACAAAACATGGCAGATAAGATCTACGTGTTATATTTCACTCCCTAGCGCGAGCTTTACCAGCAGATTCTGCGAGCCGCGTCTTGTGCTGATGCCAGATGACCCAGAGCGTAACCACGAAACCGAGGCCGCAGGCGGCGAGCGTGACAAGGTACGCAGCCCGATAACACTCGAGGCCGTCGACGCAAGAGCTTGCACCATCCTTATCAATAATGGAATGGGCGTCGAAGACAGAACCATAAAATAAATTAAAAATGTTGCTCGAGATGACGGGGGACAAGGTCATGAAGCCCCAGTTCTGGCTCAGGCCGTGGATGCCGAAAGACTCGGCGACGATGGACGGGAACACGCCAAACAGGAACCCGTAACCTAGCCCGCTAAACCCGGACACAAAACCCAGCAAGTGAGGGTTCGTCACGTTGAGTGCGAAGATCTGCGCCAGCGAGAAGATGCCCGATGCGACTACTAGGCACCATACTCGACTAGCGTGAAGTACCTTGACGAGGAAGTCAGATCCGACGCCGCTTAGTAGTCGCCCTGAGAAACTACCGATGGAGAGGATGGAAACGTGCAGCTGCTGGCGTAGGACAAGCGTCTTGTCGTCGATCGAGTCGTCGTAGTGCCTCCAGAGCGCTGTGACGTCGTTCCCGATATTGCTGGTGGGGAGTTAGAGCCGCATATTTTGGGTACAATAGCGCACATATAATAATATACGCAGGTAAGGCAATACTCACTTGATAGTCATAAGGCCGATACCCGAGAGTATGCCCATGATGGTAAACAGCTGCCAAAACTCGATGTTCTTCAAGAGGTTGAGACCTCGGATATCTATACGATGAGAACGATCCATATCAACACTACTCTGCACTAACACTTCACCCGGCAATGAGGAGGACGAGGTGGACTGGGATAGAAGCGAAGACGTTTCATCGGAACCATCGCGGGTACCTGACGGCGCTTCCTCGGTGTCGACAGCTCGGCTGTCTTCCTTGGGGCTTGGGGGGTCCCGGTCCTCTTGTTCTGAGGTATCTTGGGTCATTTTGGAGTTGTTGGAGGTGTCAGAGGTGGTGTTGAACATACCAGGTTCAGATGGATCCCCACGAGCAACACGTGTCTTAGATTCGTCCGACGTTGTACGGTGTAACTGTCGCGAATCTGTCATGCCTGGTTCCGCATCGGGTACAGCGTGGTACGGCGAGTGAGGCGGAAGCACGCGCAGAAAGAAAAACCCAACGAAAGTCAAGCCGAAAGTGCCATAAGCTAACAACATTAGGAACTTGCTCGGACTACCGGGGAAGAAGACGGTGCCGATGAGAGCGAAGAAGAAGGCGCTTAGACCGAAGGCGGCAAGAGGAAAAGCGGTAGCGGTGCCACGATGGTGCGGCCAGTTCAAAGCTGAGGTCTTCACGGCGGCGGCGAAAGCCATGCAGCCACCGAGGCCGGTCAGATACGACACAAAGCACATCCACGGAACGGACCCTTGACCGGCATCATACGCTTGGTGGAGCGGGAAATAACCGAGACCTAGTAGGAAAGCCCCTACGATGACAGCGGGGCGAGGACCCTTGCTGTCGACGAACATGCCTACGGGAACACCCATTGAATACATGCCGAGATTCCCCGCCAGCCCGATCAGGTTGCTTTCGGTAGCAGATAAGAGTAACTTGTCCGCAAATTGAGGTGCCCAAGCCGAATAGACATACTACCGTTCGTTGTCAGAGACGTCGAAGAGATGCCATCGTGGTTATAGGTATGTCTTACATTAGTTCCGCAGGCCAGCGAGATAACGGTCGCGGCGACGCTCGACACAATGCGAGCATTGTAGACTTGGCCCGATACAGTCATATTGAAAATCACACGATTTAGGTACTAAGTTAGTTATGATATCATGTCTTACTTTTGCCAATGACCTTTTACAAAAAGGGGGGGAAATGAGGCTACGGTGAACAATTACGAAGAATACGAAGGAATATGGAATATCAAAAAAAAGAATAGATAATGAGAATAAGATCGGAGGCTGCGATATAGCAAAATAAGTCGTGTAATGCCGGAGAAAATAAGAGATTTGTGTTTCTAAAAGGCAGGATATTCCATGCCGAACGTAACGATAGGGAACGAATGAAGTGTACAAAAGTAATCGGGCGTCGTTGTCGCAAAGATGATGGAATTGATAGGACGACGTCGAAGGAGTGGGAGGGTTTTTGGGACGTGTCGCAATCGCAATCGCAATCATTAACGTAACGGGGGATTGCGCTTTATCGGCTTATCTCGCTTCAGACCCCTTACTGTTTCGGGCTACGAGACGGATCGACTATCCTTATGGGGGCATTAGTGTACTCCGGTATTTCGGCATCTGGCAAAGAGCTTGGGATGAGTTATAGTTAGGTACCTATGTACACGCCTCCGTAATCATAGGTACCTGTAGGTATCCATGCCGAAGGGGTCCATCTTTTATCTAATACACATCTTAAGTACATATTATATGTACAATGTACCAACATTCATATCATACCTAACTACATATAAGTACCCAATATGATCTGCTCGCATGAACAACTACTTACTATCGGTGAAAACGTTCCCATTACCATAGGTTGATATTCGTTGGATATATTGGCCATGGACGTCCCTGCTTAGCTTGGTGCTATACCCAATTCATAGTTTTATAGTCACCGCTTGAACATAACTGATCCATTTTGAGCCTTGGCCAGTTTAGTAAATCGGATTAAAGTGGGGGTCGATATTCTAGAAGCCATTGCTACGAGAGTTGAAGGTTATGAATTATGAATTAAAGGGGCTTTTTCTCTTGGCCATCTTTAGTTCCTTTTTTTTTAAAAGTGGGGGGAAGCAACCTTGGAAATGGAAACATTTTGAAGGATTCAAGATGGTACCAAGTTGGGTATAGCGTTGGTTTGATCTAGTACAGCAACACGCTGGTCATTGAAGTACGACGGCCAATTACTCTGGCTTGTTGAATACGATCGTACGGTACCCCCTACACTTGTAAGCTATCGGTAGTCGCTGGCCGGGGGGGTTTATTCTGGGGTAAGCTACCTACATACATGATACATATAGGATTCATCGCATCTAAACGTCATCGCGTGAGCAAGTTGGAGATGTTGGAGTCGTTGGGAAAGTCTTATTCAACAGACGAAGAGAAGAGGAAAAGGTAGAGTTAGTAATAAACAAAATAGTATTCGGTAACATCTTGAAATATTATAAGATAGGTAGTTAATTAAATAAAAACTTCATAAATACTTAGCTAGTTATATAAATAATACATAAAGGGGTATCCATTAACTAGTGAACATGTCACCATGAAACTAGTTTAGTTAATATATTCCGTATTCAGTTGTATCTTCCGAGGTAACGAATACCCGGACAAAGCTTTGATTTATAACCCCCTTTTGACTCCAACATCCAATTGACTACACCGTCATGTGGCCCTTTATGACTTTTCCCCCCCAAATCCCCCCCCAAGTCCCCTAATTTTAATTCGTGATCACCAGTGGAGAAAACATGTACTGCAGTTCTTGTGCCACTTCAGGAAATAACAATATCCTGACCTACTGCTTTGATACGTCATGTAATCGATGTGACCCCCGCCTCGTAACGAGACACAACATATGCCCAGCATACCGAGCCACCCGCGCTACCGCGTTTGGTCTGATAACTCTCCTTTATAACTTGACCGGATCATGGCCTAAAAGTTGAAATTCATGTTCCTTGACTTCTCACTTATCCCTCTCTTATCACTTATACAAACCCATAGTCATCGTCACTGTCACCATGGCTACGTTCGCGAGTCTTCCTGCTGAGTTACGTCTAGAGATCTGGGATCTTGCGTTACACCAGGAAGCACGCGATCGCTTACTTATAATTGGCCAAACCAAGAATGCCCCCATCACTAATGAGTCGCCGCTCTGTCTCATACCCCTCAAGCACCACGCAAGCTCACTTCTCTCGGTCAATTCCGAGAGTCGCTATCAAGCCAAGGCTTTCTACACAGCCAAGCTTGATGTCTACGAAGTCCCTCGTCTCTCAAAAGAAGACGTCGGTCGTAACAGCAAATGTTCATATCAAGTGCAATACATCAACAAAGCCATTCAAACTGCTAGCGTAGTAAAGGGCTCTATCTATCTTAGCCCGCGATATGATTTTTTCGTCTCGATTCGAGGCATTGATACATTCCCGTATCTCCAGGAAGAAAAGAAAGAAGAGTTGCCCGACAAGCAACAGGAAACTCAAGAAGCCCCCCGCCATTATGTCACAGCGAAGATACCACCGGAGATCGCCATGAAAGTCCGTAACGTTGTCTGTATACAAAAGAACCTAGACAGAGACGACGACTTTTACGATTGGTGGTGGACAGACACGTACATGGAGAACCTCTTATACAACCGGGAGGAGCTCGTGCGATATCTATGCGTCCCACCATTCCGACCCCGTTTATATGGACCCGTTTACGTCAAATACCTCTGGAGAGCATCCGATTTCAAGCAGATACAGAATTACCTGCATCTATGGCTACCGCAAGAAGAATTAGAAGGGTTTATTTCCAACGTGATCGAAAATCGTGGTCGCGGCTCTTACGATTTTCGGGAATGGTCACTACATCCGGCTAATCGTATTCCCAAGTTGGTATTACTCGATCTAAACGAGGAGCCGCAAAAGCAAGATGAAGATTGTGCACCAGTTGAGGCGCAAATCAAGACCTTATGATAAGAAGAATTGAGATTAATTAGTACGAGATCTTTTTTTTATGGATTCAGCGTTTTGGCATTCGGTTTAGCATTTGAGGAATTTAAGTCCTATACCTACTGCTTAATACCTTGGGAATCTTTCACGGCGAAACATTTTTGTAATTAAGGGTATGTCTCATGAGACTTTAGGAGTTATGGTAAATGGTAAATGGCAAATGGCAAATGGCAAATAGGTGGTACTGAGGAAAATGGGTATGATGATCTCCACGTAGCAATACATTCGCTTTTGCATTTCTCAACAATGCGTAATGCGCAATACGCATAACATAACATAACAATCGGTCCGTCAATCATCCCCACCAGTTTTTCCAGCTGCCGCATCGAGTATTTCACCTCGCAGGAAAAGCAACTTTCATCACAAACAAGACAATATGTAAAAGCCATGTGATAGAATATATAAACAGTGCCAATACATATAATATATATAAGGTATGAGGCGGTTAGTTAGTAAAAATTAAGAAGCGTAGTTGTCATCGTAGCCCTAAGACGAATACGTAACTTCGGCTTGCCCAGTTCCGCACGCGGTAATTTGGTCTCCGAAAACCCATTTCGTTAAGCAGAGTGACGAATAATAACCACTAAACATAAGCATCAATGAGGCTTTTATTTTTAGAAGAGAACAGTTTAAAATCCCACCGGTTAGGATCGCGAAATCGTAGACTGCCTTCCAACCATGCGCCGTGGCGAACGCTTTAATCCAGACAGTAGCGTTGCATCGTATATAATATGTAATTCTTGGTGCTGGAGCCTCTGCGATAAATAAGGATGGGTGCTCCTGGTGTATTTTAATGTCTGTTTCTTACCGTTATCAGTTATTTTGCTCACTAGCTGTAGTTCGTAGAGATATTGGACTCGTGTAATCCCAATTCTCATTCACCATGCCTGTGTCTACCGCCTCTTTCATCACCTTGCTCGGTGCCTTCGTCACCACGACTCTCGGGCACGGATACGTCACCGGCTATGTAGCGGACGGTGTGCAGAAACCTGGCTTCTTGCTGGATTACTACTATGACAAGAAGAACGGAGGGACCGTGCCTCCGCTAGCCGCTTGGTACGCCGAAAACCTCGACAGCGGTTTCGTCGCCCCCGACGCTTACCAAACCGCCGACATCAACTGCCACAAGAACTCCGCCCCGGGCTCACTGACGACGACGGTAAAAGCCGGCGGCTCCGTGGTATTCCAGTGGGGCACCTCGGCAGGAGGAGCGTGGCCGCACCCGTACGGCCCCATCATCGACTACATCGCTCCCTGCGACGGCGATTGCAGCAAGGCAGACAAGACGAAGCTCAAGTGGATCAAGATCCAGGCTAGCGGCATCGACGCGGCCACGCAGGAGTGGGCGAGCGCGAAGCTGATCGCGAACAACAACACGTGGACGACAACGATCCCCAAGTCTATCGCGCCCGGCAACTACGTCCTGCGACACGAGATCATCGCTCTTCACGGCGGAGGGTCGCTAAACGGCGCCCAATCCTACCCCCAGTGCTTCAACATCCAGATCACGGGTTCGGGCACGGCGAAGCCCAGTGGAACCCTCGGCACTGCGCTGTACAAGAACACTGACCCGGGTATCCACTTCAGCCCGTACGGTACTATTACGGACTACCCGATGCCCGGCCCGGCGCTATTCACTGGTTAGAGAAGGATTATTGAAGGATTCGGAGCGGGCCATGGTGCGGCGAAATGTGGGTAAGGTTGAGAAAGAAAGTCGGATTCCGTTGCTCGGATGTTGGAATAGCTAAGCTTGAGGAATAATGAAAATTAGCTATTTAAGCTAACCTCATAACTGACTTCTATAATTTTGGCAATTTGATGTTATTTAAGTGAAATGTACGGATCCGTAAGCTTAACGATGACTTACTTAGGAGATACATAAATATACTCAGTCCTAGAATAATCTCTATTTAAAGATATTACTGTATACCCACTTTACTGTATCCGCGCGCGTCGCATGACCCTACGTAATGCAATGCCAAATACAGTATAAATGGTCCGTGCGTAACTTCCGCCCATCGCAGCCGCACGGCGTCACGCCAACTTCGACAGCAACGCCTCATCCTATCATAAATTCTTTCTTCCCTTCAACATAAAAAAACCTACTCTAAATACAACAAGAAAGAAAAAAAGACACCATATCGATATTGCAACCTTTCATCAAGGATGGGAGCGCTCCTATCTCTTCCCTTCCTGGCGCTGCCCGGCGCTGGCACGGTATGTTTAACAACTCTGATTCCTTTAATCCAGCAGGTCGAAGACTAACGATAATCCAGTTGATATCTTTCGCTGCTAGCTGCTGTGGCGCCGCTACATGCTCCATGGTATGCAGCGCCTGCGGGAAGTGCGGCAACAGGTAAGATAACTATATTCTATTATCCTATGCCGTGTCGCAATGCGCAGACTAACTAACATTGAACTTCAAGTGTTGCTACCCGTATCGCTTACGCCCTCCTCCTCCTCGTTAACTCGATTCTCTCGTGGATCATGCTCACACCTTGGGCCATCGAAAAACTGCAGCATCTGATGTTGGATTATGTTAAGATCAACTGTCCAAACGGCAAGTGTTACGGCTGGCTGGCCGTTCATCGAATCAACTTCGCCCTCGGGCTCTTCCACCTTATCTTCGCCGGCCTGTTATTCGGTGTCGCCTCTACGAAAAACCCGCGAGCTTCCCTCCAGAATGGCTTCTGGGGCCCTAAAATCATCGCCTGGCTCGCCTTCGTTGTCATGTCGTTCCTTATTCCCGATGCCTTCTTCCAGGTCTACGGTAATTACATCGCCTTCATCGGCGCTATGCTCTTCCTCGTCCTCGGTCTTATCCTCCTCGTCGATCTTGCGCATAACTGGGCCGAGTACTGCCTTGAGCAGATTGAAAAGACCGACTCGAAAGTCTGGAGAGGCGTGCTAATTGGTTCAACCCTCAGCATGTACATTGGTTCGCTGGCCATGACTATCATACAATATGTATTCTTCGCTCATAGCGGCTGCTCCATGAACCAAGCCGCGATTACCATCAACCTCCTATTTTGGGTTGCCATTTCGATTATCTCGGTACACCCAGTCGTTCAGGAGTACAACCCTAAGGCTGGATTGGCGCAGGCCGCCATGGTCGGGGTTTACTGCACATATCTTACCATGTCCGCCGTCTCGATGGAACCCGACGACAAGCAGTGCAACCCCCTAGTTCGTGCCCAGGGTACTCGAACGACATCCGTAGTGATCGGTGCCATCGTAACGATGCTAACAGTTGCGTATACTACTACGCGCGCAGCAACCCAGAGTCTGGGCCTAGGTAACAATAGGGGTGGTATCAAGCTTCCAGACGAGGATGAGCACGATCTCGTGACTCAACAGCCGGGACGTGAGGATATGCGAGCAGTTCTTCGCCGAGCAGTCGAAGAAGGTAGTTTACCCGCCGACGCCCTGCTATCCGACGATGAGGATGAAGAAAGCGGCAAGACGCCGAATGATGATGAGCGGGGTAGAACTCAGTACAATTACTCGGTGTTCCACGTCATCTTCTTCCTGGCGACGTGTTGGGTAGCCACATTGCTCACAGGCACGGTGGAAGGATTAGACGACCTTCCTCAAGACAGCGACTTCGCGACCGTCGGGAGGACATACTGGGCTAGCTGGGTCAAGATTGTCAGCGCTTGGATCTGCTACGGCATGTACATCTGGACCCTGGTAGCCCCTATTGCCCTACCGGAGCGGTTTGACTTTTCCTAGAGTAACCTGTGGAGCTCCTTTTGTATAATTTAGTTACCTATTTTTGCTATGTTAGAATGTTGAAGCATTGCTTGCTAGAGTGTATTTTTAACAAGCGTTCTATGTTAATACCTCTACTTAAACCAATACTCAGTCACATAAGTTTTTGATTGTTCTATCTCTTATGTGTGTTGCTAGGCGGTCGTTTGTGTAATTTAAGGAGTAGTTGGGTGCTACTTGACTGGAATATCGCGAGATAAACTATTTACCCTCGAGGGCTTACGAGCGTGGTTTAGTCTATAAAATCTACCAATTCATTGCGATTATATGTGCGAGGAAAGCAAAAGTATAGATTCTGATATATTGTTACCTTTTTTTCTGGCGTTAATCTACGACAAATGTCCCCTGATGAACTGGAAGATCACTTCATAGTAATTAATTATAACAGATAGCTGATAGATTATATACATCTTGAAAGGTAGTCTTGAAGGGATAAGATCTAGAGCTTCCTATTCAACAATATTTTACCAAATCATTAGTGGAGATAGAAAAGGCGTATGCGGATATAGTAGTTGATAGTCTTTTGATAATCATTATGCACAACATACTAGAATTTATTTACATATTAGTTTATTCCAGTGTTTATTCGTCGTGGTCTCAATTATGTATATCTGACGAGGTATAAATATAATTCAAATAGCTGCCTGGTGTTATAGGAAGAACATTGTGGATCGAAAGGACACCTTGGGGACCAGGTACATCTGTCCAGAAAGGTGTCTTGAGGAAAGTAAGGCATATATATAACGGACATCTATTAGCTGACACCGGAAAATGGGCTTGTCTCTAGGTGGCAAGAGGCTGTGGAAAAGCTCATCATATGAATTAGTATTCTAACTGCTTTACTGAATTACATTCTCTCCCCTTTCCTTCCGGGTTTTACTTGTACTACCTCTAAGCTATAAGTTTCCAGTCGTTTAAAGCTCACATTTCACACATGATATCCGCGCAGTTTCACGGTAGTACAATATGGGTAGGTATTGATAGTAAGCAGGCGGCTACGTGGTGGGACGTCATAACCGAGGTGAATAATACCTATATTCGCAATGCTGTTATACCTGCTAAGGATATAGTTCGTTTTTTGTTATTATAGGCTACGGCTGCCGTTACGCTTCACAGAAAGGGGGTAAGCAACCACGTTCTTAGTTTATCTTCGGATTTGATCGTTACGTGTAAGGATGTATATAGATACATAGTATCAACATGAGGCTATTAAGACTTTTCTTAGAGTATATTATAGCTACGTACATAGCAAGTGATATGTACGGTGTTGATATCTAGGGTGGCGCCAGAGCCTCAACAGATCCTACTCAGGCCACCAGAGACATATCAGAACTCTATGACGAGTCTTGCCGAAACATGGTCGTGATGACCGACCGTATTCTCACGTGAATTTCAACTGGTCAAGGTACCTGTGTATAGAGCGTCTTAGCTCGATGTGTTGTCTCAGTTGAACAACAGAATTGCCGTGACCACCCACGGCAAGCAACTTCATATAAATTAAACAGACAGCGTACAGGACCAGCCAGCCAGCCAGCCAGCCAGCACAAGAAATATGACATATCATACTGCGGAAAATAATGACATGATAAGCTCCTTATCTTAGGTACGTAAGAAAACGCCCTGCCGTCGGTTCATTGGGCTTTAAAAATGAGGCTGATCGGCTGGGCGCTTTCGATTATCGCCGGGTCATTCTTTCTAGAGCCTCGAGGAAGAATTATAGACGAAGGGAAGCTTTTTACCTACAAAGCTATAATTTCGCCCCTGAAGCGATGATGTCGCAGGGGCAGCGGCATATAATCACCCCATATACACGCTGCATGTGGGAACGTATGTATGTCTTAATTATAACGCCGACTTACATACAAGGCTTGATATTCCGACTTGTTTGCTCAAATGCATATACATACTTACCTACAGATAGTGAAAGGCTTCCACTGATATTGAGCAGCAGCGGTGCTTGAACTACATCGCATTTGCCTCTGTCCATTCTGCGATGCCAAGATAGCAAACACGTTTTATTGGTGTTGTACCGCTTCCTCTCCTGTCTCTGATCCTGTAAACGGTCGACTGAAGAAATTGCCCGCTGCTGCTGTTCTGCTGCTGAGAGACCGTAAGAGTAAGAATGGTCTCACAAAATAGGGGGAAAAGACAGAGACAGAGATGTTCCCCCAAGTCGGCGAATCAGACAAACACGGACATGCCTCCTTGTAAACAAGCCAAGCGCTCGGGTACTGCGGCTCGAGAGAAAGAAATAATAGTCAGTCAGTCAGTCGTTCGCATGCCCGAGGTGTCGCCCGTCAAAGGCGGTGAAGAGCTGCAATTGCAATCGCAGCTCTGACGATACGTAGACGTAATGGTATCAACGGGTACGCGCATGTCCATTGCAGGCGCCAGTTCACCTGACCGCCCCTCCTCCCCGTGCCTCGCCCTCGAAACAGCTTAACAATTCGCTTCGGGTTGATAGATCGGCGGCCAGTGGCGCTTGTCTATCTGATCTCATGTGCTTAGGTAGATTGGGACGACCGTGGTGTGTGTATGTGTGTATGTGTCTTTATTTCCACATCAAACCTTTTTCAGCTATTCACCGGTTAAAAATCAACAGCCTCCCTAATCTAACGAACAGCATGTAGTCATGAATAGAGAGCTCTTGGCAACGAGTAGCATCTCTTACGAGCCGAATCTTCGCTAAGTCATACCTAATTCCAACAAGCAGCACGCCTTCAGTACATCTGCGCGTGTTCTGTGTCATTGGATGATGCAAGCCACAGTAGCACACCCAGATCGATAATGGAGAGCGATCGTTGCACGAGCCGGGGGGGTATTGTTATTCGGCTTTTTTCGAATTTCGAAGCGTTACTGCTATGTAGGTAGATTTGACTCATACCCGGCATATATGTACGCCAGTCTGTGTGATATATCCAAGTATGGTGATATGACGGACGACGTTTTTGCAGTCATATTCTTACTGCTTGTTATCCGCTTTATCTTGGAAGGCCAATGGAAACTCACTCTCAGCTCTACAGGTTGGCGTGGAGAATGTGATGAACCCACAGGATAGAGCTACGTAAGAAAGGTTTGTTCCTGTCTAGACACCGAACCGCTACGAAGACATGGTTGTTGCCAATCCTCATATCTATATAAGAGTCCGGTCTAGTCATGGCTAGGAGGAGAATCAAACCCGCAGGTTCAACTCAGTCAGTTTTTATGTTCTAATTATTTTTTCTTAATATTATCAGTTTTAACCCTGGACTTGTCTTCTCAAAGTCACTAGCCATCGCTAAGCATCGTATCGATCCCATAGCTCAACTCTTTAACGAACACAATGCCACATAGCACTCATGAGGCCGAGAAGATGCCTGACTGGTTCGTTAAGAGTATCGCCGAGAATAAGATTTTAATTCTAAGTAACGTATATAGCGGCAATGGCATCAAAACTGATAGCAGTTCCGCGCAAGGAACATCCCAGCGTGGGGGAGGTTCTTCTCAGACGACCATGCTAGAAATCTGGGCAAATGAGACGGAACGCGAGAAACTCCCCTTCAGCGAGGTGACCCAGCAACCAGCTGTCCAGTATGTGTCGCCCCTTTTTGTTTTAATGCTGTCCATATACTAAGTATAAGTCTAGACCGCCTGCGAGGCGTTAACTTTGCTGGGGTCTGCATCAACGTGTACATGTAACTCAAGGAAACCAAGCCCTCGCACAGGGGGCCAGGGGTTGGGTGCGTGTTACAGTCCCTTATGTACAATAGTTAGTAAGAACAATGGATCAGCAATGGAATATCGCTTTTTTCTATTGTGAGAATATGATTTTGCTGCAGTGTTACATCGCGATATGCCGCGATTGGCTCCAAAACACGGAACTTCTGCAGGATCTCAAGATAATGTAGGCTCAGACGACGTATCGTTGCTCGAAATTGTGCTTCCGACCTGTGCTGTAGCTCCTACCGCATGAAAACCGTCAAGCGTAATTGTCACTGCACCTGCTTGTACGAGCTAATTGACATTAGTATGACGATGGTATGAAAGCTGACCTATGTTGTGATACTTACTGCACGGGATAGGTCGTCGACCAGGTCATGGACATCCTCGATACCAACACAGAGTCGAATGATGTCCTCGGGCATCTGCCGCTCCTTTCTTGTCTTTGCGTCGATGCTAGCATGGCTCATACGGCACGGCATGCTGATTAAACTGTTGACACACCCGAAGCTCACGCTGATTCCGTATAGCTTCGCAGCTTCAACAATCCTCTCGGATAAGGCGACGTCACCGGTCTCGAAAGATAAGACTGCTCCGGCACCCCGCGCCATGGACCAATGAAGATCGTACTGTGGATGAGATTTCAACCCAGGGTAACGTACGCGGAAACCGTGAGACTCGAGGAATTCGGCAAGTACTTGAGCGTTCGCTTGTTGCTTCTCCATACGAATTGCTAGCGTCTTGACTCCCCTCATGAGAAGGAATGAATCGTTCGGAGAGAGACCGCAACCGGTAGCGTTAATAGTGAAATACATCTTATCACCGAGAGAAGTGTCATTGCATGCGATGACGCCTGCCATAATATCATGATGGCCTGATAGGTATTTAGTACCTGACTCGTATACTATATCTGCTCCGAGTTCGAGGGGATTGCATAGCATAGGCGATAACATGGTATTGTCAACGATGACGAGCGCCTTTGAATTAGCGTCGTGGACAGCTTTCGCAATTGACGGGATATCGACAATCTTGATTAAGGGGTTGGTCGGGGTTTCCAAGAGCACCATGGAAGTCTTGTCCGAGACAACCTCGCGTACCCTTTCGACTTCTGTGGTATCCACATGGTGGACAACGATGCCTTGATTCGACGATAAATATGTAAGTAGCCGGTTGGTACCCCCATACAGATCATCACCAGTGATCACTTCATCTCCAGGACGCAACAGCCTAGTAATAACGTCTAAAGCACCCATGCCGGAACCAACAGCAAGGGCTCGGTTAGCATTCATAATCTTAGCCATGTGACGCTCTAGATGCGTTCGGGTTGGGTTGCCCGATCGTGTGTAGTCATATTCATCGCCACCCTTGGAAGAGGTCTGCTTAAATGTAGCGGATTGGTAGACTGGGATGCTTGAGGCACCGTATTGGTCTTTGGTTTCGGTATAAACAAGTTCAGTAGCAAGAGCATAACGTCGACGGCCGTTAGAAGGACTCGAGGGAGCAGGTGAGGGCGGTAGAGTATGACCGTCGATATCGACCTTGGAAACGGCCTTGTTTAGAGGTTTAGAGTCGTCCATGGTTGAGTGACGAGATGAAAACAAGACCTCCCGGCGGCCGAAGGGAATCTAAAGATTTAAAACTTAGACCCAGACCTTTTTTTATTTTATTTATCAGTAACACCGATAGAACCCAATTGACTTGCTAAATGACGGTTAAACTATCGTACTCTTTGTATAAAAGGGAACCGTATAAGTATATTAGAGAGGAAATTGGGGCGACTTCGAGGTAAGAACATGAAAAGATTCAAATAGGTAGGTTATGCTGACGGATGTAAATCAGTAAAGAAATTCCGTGATTGCTTGTCCGAGGTCGTCAGGTTGTACAGCTTGACTCAAAAGAGAGCGGTGTGGGGTCTAACGTTCCTTGCAGCATCCGGTTATCGGGTTGAAGAGGTAAAATCTGGGGAAGACGCGGGTATCGCTATAGATGACGTGATTTTGGACGGTAGACAAAGCATCCGATCGGTACATCGATAAGATGGCCTATGATGCGCCAAGACCACGTTGTTTGACCCATAGGGCTGACATCCACGCTACCCTACCTAATTTATTCTGTTCCTGCCTACCTAGTATTCTAGGGAGCTTTAGGCCTTTACTAAGACATTCAATATTAAATATGAGCTCTTTTGAATATGTTATACCAAGCACCACCTAGATAGTTAAATGTATATCCAATAATATTGTCTATTTATAAACCTTCCGGAGTATCCATCGAGTTGAGTGATTAATAGTGGCAAATTAATCATAGACAACTAGGTTAAGTCGATATATTGTGACATACTACATAGCTGAGGTATTGCTTTGGAATAGATGGCTCGTAGGCCAATTTCACTAATAATAATGTTATGATCATACGTGCCGATAGCTCTATCGAGATAGGTAAACCTCAACAGCTCAAGATATACTCGTAAGCATCGAACCTAAGGAAACAAATCCATCGTGGGAATTCATATCATTGTACAGAGTGATGTCTTCCAAACCGATATCTAGTGCTAACTGCAACCCAAGTGGTGATCATTTAAAAGAAAAAAGCCCTATTTATTCCGATAGTTATTCCGACGTAAACGCCTTTCTCCGCCCCCCCCCCCTGATAGCTCATATTATGTTCACCCTATGTTCATCCAAGCACACATTTATGCAGAAACCTCCGTAGCAGCCTCCGCAGTCTTCGCACCCGTGGTCGATGTCTCAACGGTTTCCGCGTCGTCCTCGACGTCTTCATACTCGTCACTTGACGATTTCGCTCGTGCGTGATTCTTCATAAGAATCTGGCCAGCACCTTTTCGCCCGAAGAAATCCTCTGTGCGGATTCCTCGTACTTTAGATGGGTCAATGGCAGACATAGAGCTTCCGCTTGCTCGGTGCTGGCGAATATATTCTCGTACCGGGGCCATAGCCGCATCGCGGCAAGCTTCCTTAATGTCGCTACCAGACATGCCGGCCGTTACCCTCGCTACATACTCAATGTTGAAGTTGTTAGGATCGGTCTTGGTATCTTTGAGAACAAGCTGAAGGATCCGTAGCCGTTGGTTTTTATCCGGTAAAGACACAGGGAACTTCTTAGGCATTCTGCGGAGGATAGCCTCATCGATGTCATGGATACGGTTGGTAGCGCCAAGTACGACGATTCTTGCAGGGAGTCCTTGCGTATTTGCAGAAGTTAAACCATCCCATAACGTCATGAACCTAATATTTATCGTTAGTTCCTGATACGGCTATTGCACGGAAGCATCCTTACTCTGCTTTGACCATACCACTAGCTTCATGTTCACCGCTTCTCCTGGTCCCTAGCACTGCGTCTATCTCGTCGATAAATATGATAGCAGGCTGTAGTTTACGAGCAAGAGAGAAGACTGCTCGTACGAGCTTATTTGAATCTCCGTACCACTTTTCGGTCAAGGTTGAAATATGAAGGTTGATGAAGGACGCGCCACTTTCATGTGCAACAGCCTTTGCCAACATGGTCTTTCCGCAACCCGGAGGGCCGTAGAGTAACACGCCAGACGGCGCGGATAACAAGGGCGCTGCGTGGGAGTAGAGATGCGGCATCGTTAACGGGTAAATGACGGATTCCTTAACTTCTTCAATGATGTCCTCTAATCCACCGATGTCTGCCGTACGTATTAGAATTATAAGTCCAAGTAGATTAGACAAAGTGTGCTAACCATCGAACCCGACGGGTATGTCTTCTGGGGGGACAACCTCCAACGCAACAAGATTCTCATATTCGTTAAGGACTAAATCCTCTATCCGAGGACCCCGTTTCGTTTCGTTGTTCGAGTCTTCCTCTTCTATGCCTTCCTCTTCATACTCTCTTGACTTTTGTAGCCTCTGAAGGTTTGCCTTCGCTTTGAGTCGAGCCTGCTCACGCTTCTCCTTGTCCGGATCGGCGAGGGTTCCTTGGAGAGTCGATATGACATTTCTAGTAAGAAACCAAGCGGCTCCAGCCTAGCGAACGGTGTTAGTGGTGCCAATCCGGCCATGTATAAATTCCAATGAAGCGACTTTGACTCACCGTGCCTAGAATCAATAGTAAGTCCCAGAAATAATCAGATCCATTTCGTCTTCGGTCAACCATGGCGAAGGACTGCTTGATCCCGCTGGAAATCATTGGATACACCACCCAGTTGGCTGGGAGAAATTAAGACGGTCGAAATACAGTCCGTGTGGATTTTAAGGTTAAGACACGCCACAAATGTAGGCAAGCGGGCGTACCTAACGTACCTAACAGTTCCGACTCAGGATTAAAATGTTGGAACTGGATGTACTGCAATCAGGTAACTTGGGCTTACACAGTACCTAGGTACCTAATGTATCAACGCCACATGTAGAACGTGGCTGTCCTACGTATTACCTTGGCGTCTTATCGATTATGTTCCAATTCTTTGACTTTCTTAGGTCCTGCCAGCATGCACACAGGTAAGGGAATCCGTAGGTACATAACAGCATGTACATTTGTGGAGACATGGATGTTGCACTCCCTGCGGATTTTTTTGTTTACTGGGACCCTCCAATCCCAAAATATGATTGGCGACAAACACATCCCACCCTCATCGCACCCTAGGATACATACACTATCTCCACGGTCTTTTGTCGCGTGATTGACATAACTATTGTATAAAGCTGGAGTTAGAAAAATTCAAAATTCATACAATCGCATTATAGCATTATTTGGCTTAGACATAATTGGGTCTAGCCAGACTTACACACGACCTTATCAAACACACAAGACGCGCCGCCAATTCGTTGTCGCGTTCAATGTCAAAGGCGAAGGCGGCTGCATTACTTAGGCTAGTGGGTTCGGACGACGAGGAAGAAGATATCTTAGCTGAAGACGCAGCTACTACTACAAGCATGGCCCCCGGAAGGAAAACCCGTGCGACGGCTGCTGCCGTTAAAGGTGCCACTACAACGAAACCCCCAGTACGAAAAATTTTATCTGATAAATCAGCAAATGTACAAGAAAAAGCCGTCCGAGGGAAAGGCAACAAACGACCTGCCGTAGAGGAGATCACACCGGTAGTAGAGGATGAGCTAGAAGAGGGGTCGATAACTAGCGACGCGAAGCCTAAAGGTTCGAGGGGTCGGCCACGAGCCGCGAAGGCACCGAAGATATCCAAAGATGACGAAATATCGACTACCGATCAATCGGAACCCATGGTTCGACCAGCAGGTAGAAGGGGACGTAAGCCAAAGACGAATACCGACACACTACCTGCAGAACTCGAAATCCCCGAAACCCAACCAGCCGAGGACGAGATTCCGGAGACGCAAGCAGCCAATATGACGGGTTTCAGCACAGAAGAATATGATCAGATAGAGGATTTACCTCCTCATAATCGCCACGGATTCTCCTCAGTCCAACGTATCCAATCACATAATATTTTCGGTATAAATCAAAGAACAGTACCAGCATCAGATTCCGAGCTTCACGAACCATCGATGAGACGACGAGTGGGAGACCTGAGTCGGAAGTATGATAACTTAGAGGCAAAATATCGAGACTTACGAGAGATTGGAATTAAGGAAGCAGAGCGCAATTATGACCGACTTAAGAAACAATCAGAGGAGAGAGCTAATAGTAAGTATCAAACGAGAGGATTTTAAATCGTTATGGAGACGGTTAACCATTTCTAGCTGCAAACCAGCTCATCGAAACTCTGAAAGCGCAGCTGTCTGCCCAAACCGAGCTTGCTAAAGAAGCACAACGTTTGAGACAACAGCTAGAAGCTAGTCAGACTAAAGCAGACCAACTTCAAAGCAAAGTCAATGATACCAATGCTTCGTTGATGGAGGCGAAGACGGAGGTCAAGACACTCACCACGAAGCTATCTGCTGCCCGATCAGCTGAAGTGACGACCAAGATTCCGAGTAGTGCTATTAAAGGGTCAAGTGCGAATAACCGACTTCTTGCCAATGCCGAAGCCGCGGCTCAGGTGGCGCAAATGAAAGAAGATCTATACGGAGACTTGACCGGCTTGATTGTCCGTGGTGTCAAGCGGGAGCAAAGCGGAGAAACTTACGACTGTATCCAGACAGGTAGAAACGGAAGTAAGTTTATAAGTTTATTTGCAATTCTATTATATCCTTCTTTGTCAACTATTTGGGCTACAGAGTATAGGCTAACCTATTTCTCTAGCTCTCCATTTTAAACTGGTCGTAGGTGGTGAAGAGCTCACAGAGAAACTTGATGAGCCTCAATTCATATACATGCCTCAGTTAAACTCAAGTCGCGATCAGGATTTGATCGATATACTACCTGATTATCTCGTTGAGGAGATTACTTTCCCTCAATCACACGCTGCGCGGTTTTACGCAAGGGTCATGAAGGCACTCACGGAGCGTCCAGAGTATGAGTGAAGAGAGGGCTGCGCGCTTATTTATTTATTTGCTAGTAAGTTTTCCGGACGGGTGGGGAATGAATTGTTGTAGATATCCAGATACCAGAATATAATTCTTTGTTGTTTAATAACCCCCCTATTATTCAGATAAGGGGTTAGTTGAAGGTCGAGTTGACTCGTTCCCCCACATATGTTACCTAAGGACCTAGGTACCCAACCTAGGTAGGTACCTAATAACCTAAGGCACCTACGTAATCAGCCCTGTCTGTGCACCCGCAGACCCGTACCCGTACCCGTACCCGTACCTTAAATACATGTAGCTCTTAAGAATCCCTGTAAACGTAGACGCGATTTCCCAAGACCGACACCTTGACGGCCGTCACGAAAGCGGGTTGCAACCTGTCAATTTCAACCTGCAACACAGATATTCTCCTACGTTAGGTACTCTACGTCGGAAAACATCTTCAGGTCTCATCTTAGACCGTATACAAAGACATAACACATTAATTCGTCCATATATTTCTCCTATTTCCTATGGATCCGCATAGGGCTGACCAACACATCTCAGCTAAAAACCCGGAATTTTGGTGAGGAGCTCCTTCACTTGACCACAGCTTTTTCCGCTCCAGGACACCACTTGTCCTTTGAAATCTACCGCGATGGCGGGTACCAGTCGCTTCAGATTCCTGGCTATAGCCATGGTATTCCACCTGATTTACATATACTCCATTTTCGATGTCTACTTCGTCAGTCCCATCGTTAGTGGAATGCAGTTGTTCCGCGTAGAGAGACCTGCCGGAGTTAAGGCGCCGGCAGATCGACTGGTACTCTTTGTTGGTGTGTACCGTTCCTCTGTGAAGTATCAGGGTTAGAATTGCCGTCGCTAACGGATGTATCAACTAGGTGATGGGTTACGCGCAGACAAGGCTTTTCAGTCACACCCCGAACCGTTCCCCGAAACCGAAGCCGACGAAGTCCCGAGACCGCTCGCGCCGTACCTGCGTTCCCGTGTGCTAGAACATGGCACATTTGGTGTGTCTCATACTAGAGTACCTACAGAATCTCGACCCGGACATGTCGCCCTGATCGCAGGACTTTACGAGGATGTTTCTGCTGTTGCAACCGGTTGGAAATTGAACCCGGTCAACTTCGATAGCGTCTTTAATAGAAGCGCTCACACATGGAGTTGGGGTAGCCCTGATATTCTGCCTATGTTCCAACAAGGCGCAACTCCTGGCAGGATAGATGCGGATTGCTACGACGCGGAGTTCGAGGACTTCTCTAAAGAGGCGCTTGAGCTGGATTTTTACGTGTTTGATCATGTCAAGGAGGTATTTGCTGCCGCGCAAAAGAACAAGACCTTAAATGACGCTTTAAGACAAGAGAAAGTTGTCTTCTTCCTGCATCTCTTGGGATTAGATACTAATGGTCATTCGTATCGACCATACTCAAAGGAATACCTCAGAAATATTCAAGTCGTTGACCAAGGCGTCAAGGAAATAACGGAGCTGATTCAAAAGTTTTACAACGATGACAGGACAGCTTTCGTGTTTACGGCTGATCATGGCATGAGCGATTGGGGAAGCCATGGAGACGGCCATCCAGATAACACCAGGACCCCGCTCATCGCATGGGGATCAGGTATAGCCAAGCCGTATGTGTATTCAGGGACTATCGCCCCCGGTCACGACGAATACTCATCGGATTGGAACCTGGACAAAATCAAGAGGAATGACGTACATCAAGCGGATGTTGCTGCTCTAATGGCCTACTTGATCGGGGTCGAGTTTCCTGCCAACTCTGTAGGAGAACTTCCGCTTTCGTATCTTTCTGCAAATATCAAAGAAAAGGCCGAAGCGTCTTTAGTGAACGCTCAGGAAATCCTAGAAATGTACAAAGTGAAAGAGAACAACAAGAAGACAACAGAAATAAGATACCGATCTTATAAGCCCTTAAGCGAAGAGAGTGGCTCATCTCCCGAAAATCGAGTGTCATCTATCAGAAAGTTAATCGATAATGGAAACTTTGAAGAAGCTATCGAGGAGTCCGCAGCGCTGATGAAAATCGGACTCGAAGGAATGCGCTATTTGCAGACTTACGACTGGCTATTCTTGAGAGCTCTCATTACCATTGGCTATCTAGGATGGATGGCGTACGCTTTGACAACCGTTTTGAACCAACATGTATTGCAAGGTAGCACTCAGCCCTCGAGAAACCTTGGTGGCACCATTGTTTTCTCCTCAATCCTTGTTACACTTTACGCGTCCTTCATCGTGTCGCACTCACCCATCACCTACTATGCATACGCTTTATTCCCTGTATTCTTCTGGGAAGAAGTTTACGCTCGTAGGGACAGTTTGGTTAAGGGAAGACAGGCCTTATTTGGGCACATCAAAACCGGGCCCAATATCTTATCTCTTACGTTCAATATTATCATCTATATTGGCATCATTGTGTCGCTGGTAAATAGTCCTCTCCGATTTCCTAGGAGACTTTACAAGGATGACTAACATTCATAGGCATTTGGATATATCCATCGTGAAATATTTACAATACTGTATATCGTGGGGGCATTATATCCTCTAACTACTGGAGTATCTTTCCTCCAAAAGTACTCAGTTCTCTCTGCGACTTGGTCTATATCATGTCTGGTAATGAGTATTTTTACTTTGCTACCAGCAATGAAAATCGAAAGCATACCCCTTACGTAGGTCGATTTGATTAGTTACCCTTTGATCCTACCAAACTAACAAGCAGTTAATAGCATGATTGGCGGTTCGCTCATGGTTGTTGTCGGCATCCTGTACCTGATTTTCGAAGATAAGTTCCTGGCCGGCTCTTCAAGTTCAAAGAAAAGCAGCACATTGCAGAAGGGTAATGAAATTTCCCGAACTTTAATTGGGATTCAGGTGAGTCTTCCACTTCACTTGACTAATGTGTCATATTAACTAGAGCAGGTTGGGCTTATCATATTGGCTATGCTTGTCACTCGGAGCAGTGCTCTATCACTTCAAGCAAAACAGGGCTTGCCACGCGGGAACCAGGCTGTAGGGTGGTTGGTGTTGGTCGTATCGTTTTTGATGCCTGTCGCTCATCGACTTCAACCTAATCACTATTACCTTCATAGGCTACTAGTTGTTTTCCTTACATGCGCACCAACCTTCGTCATCCTTACTATCTCCTACGAGGGTCTATTTTACTTCGCATTCAGCTTGTTACTAGTTACCTGGGTACGATTGGAACACCACACCTACGAATTCCTCAAGTCAACTAGAAAGGGGTCGACGGAAGACAAAGATAACAACAAGAAACCGGCGGAGGCGGTAGTGTCCAAATTCCGGCCGCTAGTTCTATCGGATGCTCGTGTGGCTTTGTTCTTCTTTATTCTACTACAATCGGCCTTCTTCAGCACCGGCAATATCGCGTCTATTTCTTCATTCAGTTTAGAAAGCGTAAACCGACTTCTTCCAGTATTTGACCCCTTTTCCCAGGGGACACTTCTAGTTCTCAAGCTTATGATCCCGTTTGCGCTAATATCAGCGAACCTGGGTATCCTCAATATGAGAATTGGAGTAGCGCCATCGGCGCTCTTTATGGTCGCAATGGCCCTGACTGACGTACTAACACTCTACTTCTTCTGGGTAGTAAAGGATGAGGGCTCGTGGCTTGAGATAGGGTCAACAATTAGTCACTTTGCTATAGCCAGCCTTCTTTGCGTCTTCGTGGCCGCTTTAGAAGGGGTGAGCGCATTATTTATTGCAGGTATCGAAGTGAACAACTCGCACGAGGCAGCTGCTGTAAGGAACGGAAAGGCAATGGAAGCGCCGACAGAGACAACCAACGGGAAAATTAAGGGGCAAGAAATAACGCCTTCAGGTGAAAACTAAATGTGTTTATACACGAAGCGAATCGCTGCTATAAGCTTATAAAAAGATTTTAATACAATTTGTACATACTGTACATGCATGCTTGTTGTAGTACAATTACATGAATGGAATTTTCATGCAGTCCTCATGTCGTAACAGCGAATCTCGATACGAGACCCCCTAATTCGCTTCCAGACCGAATGTTTAGTAGATATACAGCTGATCTCGCCTAGCTGAAGGTGAAATGTCCACTCAAACTCGCCAAAAATTGCATATGTACGACGCAATTTCTAAAGAGAAAAAACTAGGCTTGCCGTTTACTGTCCACAGCCTATGTATGTATGTTGACGATCTCTCTACATTTGGTAAATGCCTCGGCAGCCCCGACGTGTTAGCATCGTGTCAACATGTTAAGACCGCGAGATAACTCTCCACATTTCCTCAGGTTTGAATGCCAAGCAATTCTACAGCTAGTCGAATATGACGGGTATCTGCCGTATGTATATTCGTGCTGAAGAAGAATGCTTAAGCGTATCGTGTCGTTGGTATATGTAATCAATGCTTGTGATCTAGGCTAATCTAGGATTTTAGATAGGTACCTATGCTATGCTATGTTAAGTACCTAATGTAGGCGTTGATGTGTCCTACAACGTAAGGCTACTTACTCCTAACCTAGATCTTTGAGCTTCGTTACGGAGGTCGTGGCCAAAACCAGCTCGTCACCCGACAGGCTTGTAAGGGTACTAAGGGTCGTAAGGGTAGCAGGGATGAGAATAGACTAAAAGAAAACGGACTCGCCGCCGAGTCAACCTCCCACTCTTCTTCACATGTCAATAAAATACCCATGTATGTAATGTAGGTATATATATACTAGTAATATGTATGATTACACACGACCTTTAGCTGTATTGTACATTTCATCGAATGATCGGTATCTGAATACGGAGCAAACAGACTAGTCAAGTTACTCCATTATTCTAAGCTTGTAAACATACACGTAAGAGTGCGTTAGGTGCGTTAGGTGCGTTGCGTTGCGTTCTCAACTTCTAACGAGATATAAAAACCGGGTTATAAAAGATGATCGCATATAATAGTTAGTTATCTCACATGTTAAAGGAGTTGTTTAAGGGTAATACCTATGTACCTATTCTTTTAAAGCCCCACCACGTGCGACTGGGTTATTACTGAGAGACGTTTCGTACCTGTTTAGATATTTTATTTTCATATAATTAGGGCTGCAATATTACATCAAGCAGGTATTTTCATTTGTTAGCAACCTATAGTTACCTATGTAGTAATATGTATATACGTTTAGGAGGTAGGTGTTACTTAGAAGATACTAACTAGTACATATAGGATGTAGGTAGGTATTCCATGCATGCCCGTGTAGCACAAAGAAGAACAAACTTTAGTAGGCACATGTACGCTAATGTTTAATATCCGCATGTACTTTACACCAATAAATACTATGATAGGTACATGGGAATAACCAAAATGGATCAGGTACAAGACTTACATGTACTAAACGGACATTTCTCCATACCGGCAGCTACGGGATATCGTTGTATTATACAACTCGAGAATAGGGCATTAGAAGTGTGGAAAGCTTCGGCGAGTTAGAAAGTTCAGTTTGTTATAGACACCGAAGACATCAAGAAAAATCTCCTGAGTCTCCCCAAATCTCCTGGCGTAAGCGCGGGACGTCAAATTCGAAATCCGCTCCCGCGCTCCCCTTGTCGCATTGAACTCCTAACCCGCTCTCATTATTCGCATCGCCTCCATTTGTGGTCCCCAAAGCTCTTCATTCAACTTTTAATAATTTTATCTTCCGCATGTTCATGCCCACGATTCACTAGCAAACCCTTCCGATTGCCTTCCACTTAACCTACCAACCCCGAGGTAGTGTTAATGTTCCTACCCGTCTGCCTATCCTAACTTATCCAATCCATATACTGCTTCACCAGACGATGAGCCACCGTGAAGTTTAACCCCAAAGTCCGAGTCCATCGACGACGTCCCTTTCGCTTTGACGACGAGATACTTCCTCTTTACATACATATATTCCCTCCCTTCGGCTGTAACATATACGTATATAATTAATAGGACGCGAATCGAATCTGGATGGACGCCGATATGAATTCTGATGGTGGTGATCTGGCAAGGCAGCAGCAGCAACAGCAGCAGCAACCGCCGCCGCCGCCGCTATCCGACTCAGGCTCGCTACATACACCTCCTTCTAATAACTACAACACACCACCCGGGTCGACGACGAGTACGCAGAATGCACAAGGCGCGATGAGCTTCCGAAGGTTTGTAGATAATCTAGTGCGGTAGCATATTCATATATATGCGCCATGTGTTTGCGACGAAAAGGCTGACCAAGAGTGAACTTGAATTAGACAACGTGCTTCGAGGGCATGTGAGGTGCGTATTCTAGTTCCTTTTTTTTTATACCTTTTCTCTTCGTGGTGTAGAGATTATCTGGCGCCCTTTTATCAATTTCAAGCTCGAGCTACCTATCTGGGGCTCGAGGTGGGATTATTCTAAAAGAGCCGAGGCATCTCAAGAATGCGATCCATATTCCATCTACCCTGCATTTATAAACTGACCACTCGGATACCAACAGACTTGTCATGCTAGAAAGGTACGAAATAGCGCCGTATTTTGATTCGTCGAATATAAGAAAAAAAAAAAAGAAAATCAAATAAATGGCTATATCGAAAACGTTCATAGAAGGAAGATGATATTTACATAAATTATTAGGTGCGATGCGATGCGGCGAGCCTTGGCGTCCCCTGTACCAATTGTGTCGCCTTCCAAATCGAATGCAAAATCCCACAACCTAAGAGGAAGAAGACCCAGGCGAACGCGGCAAAGGATTCGGACAGGTGCGTGTATAGTCTTGGCGGCTACTTGTGGTGCAATTGAATATCAAGAGATTGATTAGATCGTTTATAGCGACCGTGGGGACGTTATCGAAGAAGCCTCTCCGAAGCCACCCAATGCCGGCTCCTCTAATACCTTCCCGGCACGACCGGCTGTGTTACACTCCTCCGAGGGTGTTCCAACATCGACCGCCATAGAAGCCCAAGCTAGGAAAGAAGAAGTTGCCCATGATACATACCTCAACTTGGTCATGAAACCCAAATTTACCAGAGCCCCTATCACCGAGGCTGGTAGAGTAGCCTTCTTGGGAGAATCGTCGAATCTGACACTGTTGGTTCATGATCGCCAGGGAGATTCAGATGTTGTGCATTACCCGCTTCCCGAGAATGTGCGCGGATCCAGGGCCCGCTTAACTGAGCTGGATAACATTGAGGTCGATATTCTCCATCGACGTGGGGCTTTCTTACTTCCGCCTAGGTCCCTCTGCGACGAGCTCATCGATTCTTACTTCAAATGGATACACCCTATCGTACCCGTTATAAATAAGACTAGATTTATGAGGCAATATCGAGATCCTAAAAACCCACCCTCGTTACTCCTTCTACAAGCTGTTCTACTTGCCGGCTCTCGAGTATGCCACAACCCGCAACTCATGGATGCGAATGGGTCGACAACGCCGGCTGCCCTGACGTTTTACAAGAGAGCAAAAGCCCTTTACGATGCTAATTATGAGGATGACCGCGTGACGATAGTTCAAGCTTTACTCTTAATGGGTTGGTATTGGGAAGGTCCGGAAGACGTCACTAAGAATGTCTTTTATTGGAGTAGAGTTGCTATCATCGTAGCTCAAGGATCTGGAATGCACAGGTCCGTAGAGGCATCACAACTAACCAAGGCTGACAAGAGATTATGGAAACGTATCTGGTGGACGCTTTTCACCCGTGACCGGTCTGTAGCAGTTGCGCTGGGACGACCATGCAATATCAACCTAGACGATTCAGATGTTGAAATGTTAACTGAAGACGATTTCATTGAAGATGAGCCGGACAACGCGAGCGGAGTCGCCCCTGATCCTATACATGTTCAATTCTTCCTACAGTACGTCAAGCTTTGCGAGATCATGGGCTTAGTCCTATCCCAGCAGTATTCTGTGGCATCCAAAGGCCGACGCCAGAATGCTATCGATCTCACTCACAGCGATATGGCTTTGGCCGATTGGCTACAGAACTGTCCCAAATCGGTATATTGGGAGATGCCGCGACATCATTTCTGGAGCGCATTGCTTCATTCCACCTATTACACTACCTTATGTCTACTACACCGGGCACATATGCCTCCTAATAGTAGTAGCGCCGCCAGGTTTCCAGACGACTCTTCCTACCCTTCGCGAAATATTGCCTTCCAGGCTGCAGGGATGATCACGTCCATCATTGAGAACTTGTCAGCACATGATGAGCTTCGATACTGCCCTGCATTCATCGTCTACAGCTTGTTCTCTGCTCTCATCATGCACGTATATCAGATGCGGTCACCTGTCTTCTCTATCCAGCAAGTTACACAGATTCGGATTCGGACCTGTATGGAAGCTCTTAAGGAGGTTTCTAAGGTATGGCTAGTAGGCAAGATGGTCCACACCCTGTTCGAATCAATATTGGGGAATAGAAATATGGAAGAGAGGTTACAAAAAGCTGCTGGCAAGCATCATAGGAAAGTTCAACAAAGCTTAGCTCAGCTAGAACAGCATCAGCAAAGACAGCAAGAAGCTACTAAACGGAAATACGATGAGATGGCTATTGACTTTAGTATAAATACACCAGTACATCAGGAATCGTACGAACGGTCGCGTCCTCAAACCCCCAGGAACGAACCTATTCAAAACCAGCCACCACATATGGGCCCACCCATCAACTCACCGAATACTAGGTCTGGAGACACTTTCATGGGCACTAACAGCAGACCACATACCCGACCGGCAACCCCGTTCAACCCATCCTTCTCCGTCCCAACTACACCTCCGGACCTCTACCTCGTGACTCGTAACTCACCAAACCTTTCGCAATCCATATGGGAGAATTTCCAACCGGATCAGCTCTTCCCTGAGAGTTCTCACATGCCGATGCCACAAATGTCGCCGCCGCAGAATCAGCAAAGTCTCGACCCGAGTCTTGTGAACCCGATACAGGCTGGTATGTCACCGCAGTCGCCTAGGCAGACCAACCAGTTCCAACCCCGGGTGCCGAACAAGGTCGCCGTTACGAGTCCCCCGCAGGCTAACAACTTCTTACAACCAGGAATTGGAGGATACCAGACCCAGACGAACAACCTGTGGCCGGGAGGCGAGGTCAACACGGGAATGCCGGATGGCCAAAGTCCAAGTGATAGCTGGAGTACCGGATCCGGACAGCAGCCTGTGCCGGCTACCTTGAATGTCGAAGATTGGTATGTCATTTAATTTATTAAGATGAGGATTTTGCTAATATATGCTTATTATCTTAGGTTCCAATTCTTCGGTATTAACGGGAGCGATGTAAATTTTTCAGGCTTGGACATGCCCATAGGCTGAGGCTGGCCCTACTGTACAATTCATACGATGATATTTCTGATACTCCCTCGGTACATTTTCCCGGTCTTTTGTCGGGGCACGATTGACGTGATGACATACAAGTGGGCTTATGCTGTCATATTTGCTAGGAGTTCTGGTGGGCTTCTTAAGGATTGAAGCTACAATGTGAACATATTGGAAAATGGCCTATGAACAAAAAAACTACTTATATATTTATACGGAGATACGCAAAAGCGTATGTGAGGTAGTGATAGAATTGCTACTCAATGAGTATTAAAAAAAAGCTTGATTATAAGATGAACAATGATATATATGATTTTGAAGATATCGGAGTTCGATATAGGGATTCCGTATTATTGGCATTAAATGTGAAAGGTGCATGATCCTTGTAGCAGCTAATGTTAGTTCATTTTCTAACCGTCCACAGCGCCGTTTCAGCCGTCTTGGCCATTATGGCGGTGCTTGTTTTGGGGCTGACGGCGCTGTATTGTACCAGTGTACCTTACGTAGGCAGTACATAATTCAGTACAATATTGACGTGCAGATCCTGTCCAATCCCTAAAGGGGGATCCAATAGTACGTGTACAATTCAACGAACCTCCTGTAATGTAAACTTCTTTCTACATAACCTATCAATTAAGATTGTGGCAACCAGATAACTACCTTGAATTGTTCTAGTACTCTTTCGTTTGCCAGTTATTGAACAGATATTTTCTTTCTTCCTCTTATATATTTACTATTACAAGTTTAGAGCCTAACATTCAACCGACACGACAGCTCGTCTTCTACTCTCACGTATCACTCACACATGCCACCATTCGGCTGATTGCCGATTTGACCGAAACCCCCAGTGATTATATGTGTATATCGCTCTACGACAGAGATAAGAATAAACCTGCTTGCAAGCTACATTTTCGTCCGATGCGATCAATGTTATCTATTAATCCACACCAGCCCTAGCCTCCATAGGCTCGTATCGCCTTAGAATATGGCCGATACGGGTAGGAAGTCGAGCCCTGCCGCACCGAGGTCTACCACTGGTCTCGTACCTGCCAGTGCTGACGATGCCACTTCCATGAGGTCGCGCAGTAGAAGAGCGCCCGCAAATAGAGATGCAATAAAATCCCCAGGCTTAACACCCGCCCAAAGTTCTGCACCTAGTAGAGGTGTGAGTCCTATGCCATCTCCACGCCTCGGGAACAGCAAACTACTTTCGAGCGGACGGTCGAGTCCTTCTAATGCCGCATTCTCACGCGGACTTCTCGAGGGTTCATGGACACCGAGTTGGGCATCCGTTCAAGACTTTGCATCTTCTTTATTAGAAGGCGGTTACAATAGCGAACCTTCGCGTCCTAATAGCCGCAACGGGAACAAACCACAACCGAAATCAATATGGAAAGGACTTGGAAGTGGGATTACGAAAGCCGGCAAGTCCCCTAACGATTGGGGACCAGCACCTCCGGCTGGATCACAACCGGTTGCCGGTGACATCGGAGCAGGGTCTCTTGCGAAACGGGAGGCACAGCTGAAGGCTAGGAAAACTGCCAGCGTATTGGAAAGCTACGAGGGTGTTAATGGTGGTCTAGATGTGGCTGGGAAATACAAGAGGAGGAACTCAGACGAGACTCCACGAGGCGCAACGGAGGTCGTCGAGGAGCAACTAGTCTATTTGCACCATGTACAACCCACAGACACATATGCGGGTATTGTCCTTCGTTACAGATGTCAGGAACATGCATTCAGAAAAACAAACGGTCTATGGTCACGGGATAACATTCAAGTGCGTAAGCATTTAATGATACCCGTCGATGCATGCGAGCTCAAGGGCCGGCCGTGCGACGCCCCATCCCAATATTCTCAGAAGGTCGATCTTTTAGCTACTACCCCCATGACCGTGGACCTTAAAAGCCCTATCACATCTACCCCACAGTCGCGGCAGACCCACGATAGTTACTTCGACTCTATCAGTGGCAAGTCAGCAGGACTTGCTACACAAGGAGACGAGGAACCACCTTGGACTCATGTGCGATGGGTCAAACTCGATTTTTTCCAGGAGCCTGTAGAGATTGTCAGAGTCTCAAGGAAGTCAATGGGATATTTTCCCCCCAGGCGAAAGAAGAGTATTCACACTGTATCCACCTTCTCAACCCCGCGTCACTCTCTCGACCTATCAAAAGCCCTAACAAACACATCCGAAGTCTTCGACAGCCCAGCTCAACTCTCATCCAGGCGGCAAAGTTCCATCAGTGCGCGGCCAGCAGCTGCGAGTCTTGGTATTTCCTCGCCCGCTAGAAGCAGAGTCACTAGTCTGGGCGAAGCAGATGGCGTACCGGCGTGGATGCGCAGGCCGGGGGGAGTAGGATCGATGGGAAGGAGCGTCAAGGCCCCGGGCCCGGCGAAGGATTACTTCAACACATGGGTCAACAAGACACTCCCCGGGCTCGGTATCGACTCAATGCCCTCGATGTCCGTTATGGGGTCCGAGACCGCGCACTTCGGGTTCAATAAGGCGACAGAAGAAACAGCCGGGATTGTGGAAAGCCCCTTTGAAGACGGTCGAGAAGCTACCTCCCCGCCCCGTAACGGCATGGGTCTTGAACACGCCGCCGCGTCTATCGAGTCCTGGCTCCGTGGCGCGTGGGCAAAACGCCCGACTACACCAAGACTAAGCTCCCACAGGAGACCGCCCGAGGATCTCGATCTCATCGAGTTAGCGGATGCGAATAGCGACGATGGACGCAGAGGCTTGGAACCGGGACTCTTAGGTCAGGGTTTTCGCGGGAACGGCACTACGGGCCGGAGCGAGGGTGAAGGTACGGTTAGGGGCCGTTCGGCACAGCCGAGTGCGGTTGCTGGGAAGGGGAAGAAGGCTGACTGAGTGAGGGAGGGGCTGGTTGGTGGGAAGGGCGAGTGAGATATACAACGACGATCCGATGATGAAATTTTAGAAGAGCAAACATTTTCGATAGATGGCAGTTCATCCCGGTTCGAGCCGGTCCGATTTTCATGTTTGCGTGCGTGTACCCAGCCAGTCAACTTCGCGGCGGCAGCAGCAACATATCACGGTCATCCTCCTTTTTTTTTTCTCCCCTTTTCCTCGAGGCACGGTGTGCGCATGTTGTCTGGCTGGCTTGATGTGTTGATATGTGTGTGGCCTGCATTGCCGGAGGCGTTTAGGGGGATCCCATGGCGTTTTCTTTTTTTTGTGTGTGCCACGTCGCGGGGTTTGAAATTATCTATTTATGCCCAGCCCTTTTTTTTTCTCGTTGTTTTGTATATAGATATGTAGTTACCTAAAGTTACTATTACATAAAGATACTTTACAGACTTCAGGGCTTGCATTAATTAGGAAGAGGGAAGAAGGAAGGGAGGCGGAATTTAAGTATGTTGGCATTTTTTGGTGGCTACCTCTCTGGTAGTGGGATAGTATAGTTAGATTACTTATTCGTTAACTTTGATTGTTGCAAGTCCCGAAACAGAACTACGTGATATGACAAATATATTTTTCGCGTAACTATTTCACTTACTTGCTCGTTAATATAGGAGGTGGTAAAGGGGCTTATGTTGAATCTTATACCTTAGTTATCTAAGCTTTAGGTACGATAAGATTATCTGAAGCTTATTATCGATCGGCGTTTAAACTTCAACTTACACATATGTAGGTAAATGCACTTGAGCTTTATCTTTATCAACTCTAAGGTCCCCATTCAATTGGGTCCTTGCTGCGTTATGAAGTATACGTAGATATATGTAGGTAGGACCTAATCAAGCCTCTATACTTAATCCTCGGGTTTGGGGTTTGGGGCATAACCTTGACTTATGTAACTTGTTTGAATACCTTCGCTAACTATCGAACACCGTAGTAGTCATGTTTCCGCGACACCCACCGCCAGGCGATATCCCATCCGCACCCTTTCTACAATCGCGAATGCCACCCTCCTCCTACCTAGTCGTATAGGAGGTACATACATAGCTATTACTAGAATTAAACCCGCGCCATTGCAACTGCATAGACAGGAAAGAAATACAATAATGCCGATCTGCATCGAGTGCCGGCACCCGGTCAAGACACTATGGACGCAGTACTCGGGGGCCGGGGACCCGTCGAGCGGACATAACATCCGGCTGACGGTATGCAAGAAGTGCGGGCGCTTCTGCGACAAGTACGTTGAGCACGACTTCGTGGTGCTCTTCATCGACCTCGTCCTCATCAAGCCCCAGGTCTACCGTCATCTGCTGCATAATACGCTGATGCGAGAGCGCGACCAGTTCGACGTATGTCTGCTATTCTTTTCCAATTTTCCAATTTTATGTCTATTGTTGTTTTATCATATTGTTAGGTATTTATATTATTACATGAACGATGCTGATCGGTTAGGAATATTGCCAACAACAGCCGTCTATTATACGTCTCGGAACGCTATTGCTGCTCTTCGACGTCTATCTCACTTGGGCCCGCATCGAGAAGCAAGCTGCGCCTAATCCGAATTCTCCTACGGGGGGGAGTAACCTGGGGAGTCTGGCGCAGCAGCCTATTGTATTTCAATATCTATTCTTTCGTAAGTTCATCCTCACTCTCTCTTTCTCTTAAACATTCTGCTAACCATTTACTCAGTAATTCTATGCACTTTCTCTACGCTCGCCTTCCATCTCAGCATCCGATTCCTAACCTCGTCTCCGTTCTCCCCACTCAATTTCCTAGGCCTGCTGCCGACGTATGCGCGGCCCAATTCGGTATCGACGGCGCTCCTGGTCTCGTCGTCTACTAAGCTGTTCCCGATCCTCATGGTCATTTGGGACTACGACGTGCCTGCGGCAGCGCGCAGCCTCGGTTGGGCCGTTGTCGCAAACAATGTTGAAGCCCTTAAGATCTTACTAGACTGCGGGTATGGCGTCGCGCTGGCTCTGGCGGCTGCGGGCGCTGTCGCTCGTTGGTTAGTAGGCAGAGCGGTCTTGTGGGTTGTTGGGCTCGAGGATGTGGACTCGGGGGGCGAAAGCGGTGTTGCGGCTGATGGGAGGGCGTTGTGGGCGCTACTCGTATATGCGAGGGAATGGGCGGGAAGGCTAGCTGTTGGGTAATATATTAGTTGCTTCTAGCTTAGAGAAGAGTGCTCCTATAAAGTGACACAATATGAATCACAAACAAGAAACCAATTTGTTCAAAATGCTGTCGTATTAAGAACACTATGTCCGCGCAGATGTTCAGCAATGCCTGCTCGCTCTGTTGCTGTCAAGTGCTGATATGATTGATGCCCGTCTTCCAGAACGCCAAAACCAAACATGTAGATAACGGTAGCGATGTGTTATACAGGTCCATCCCCGGCTTAGTCCGGCTAGTCTTTCCCCCCTCACAACACTGTCGTGCTCTTTGCCATTCTTCTTCATTCTTCTTCCCAACATTGGAGTTGAATACTGAGATATCTCCTCTGTATTTCCGACTTCCGTAACTCTTACAAACTTCATTGTCCTTGATCCCTTTCAACCCCCATATCCGCATTGGATCGCTTCATAATCGGAAGAGGCGCAGGGCCCAGATCATTCGTGTTGGAAGCCCTCGCGAATGTTAGACCGTCTCGGCTCGATAAGCGGATGTAGTTGGGCCATAAAGGTGATGAACCACATAAGGTAGCAGCTGACGAATGCGAGGATAAGAGAGGAGCGCCACGTCCTATTAAATTCTCCCAAAGTCAGCAAGCGAGATCAACATCAAGAACATTGAACTTCTTCCTCATCAACTGCCGCCTCATAAAATGGGAAAGGCAAGAAAAGAGGATAGGATAACTCACGTCTGGTTTTCGCCCTTCGGCGAGAAGAACCAAGCTGCGACGCAGAGGGCGCCCACGATGGCGAGGCCGACGAAGATACTGTAACTGTGGTATGGTCAGCCAGCTTGTCTAGCTAGTACGGATAATACGCGGCCTCAGCAGCAGCAGGCGGCGCGCGAGAGTATTGTAACAACGTACCCCTTTGCCATATTGTAAGCAGGGTAATTATCGACTTCGAATTAGTAGATTGGTAGCTGGGGGATTGTAAAAGGATAGGTTAGGTAGTTGGCGTTGGAAAGCTTCGGGTCTAGATTGAAGCTTGCTTGGTTAATTGGTCGGGGTGACTCGTAATTGGTTAACGCGGTTCAGCCCTGTTGCTGTTGCGCTGAACGGTTCAGGACTTTAGGACGTTAGGGGCGCTAAAGGGTATGCTTACCTAAGTCATCTTATCGAGGGTACGAAGTACGTACATAGGTATTCTTTATTACTCGATCCCTGTTTTGAGATGGCATTTAAACTCAAGAATAAGTGAGATCATATTATTTTATCTCATACCCTTTTTAAAGAGCTTTAACGCAATATTTTAAATGTCAACACTACCTAGGTATTCTCTTCTATAAATTATGCGTCGTTCTCAAACTTCAACCCATAGTCCTTCCTCGCTGCGCCGTAGATTCCCGCAATATCGCCCTTATCACCTCCCGCGTGCTCGGCGACACTCTTCAAGTAGTTTTGAGAGACACTCAGCAGCTTGAGCTCGGCGCCTCCGCTCTTTGCCAAGTTTGAGGCGTGGCCCGCGTCTTTAAGTGCGTTGTTAGCTGAGAAGAGCGGTTCTTCCATCTTCCAATAGGTGCCATTTAGCATGCGCTCAGAGTAAACGCTGTATATGCCACCGTATAGCTGGTCGATAAACTGCTTTAGTGGCTCGGGACCGATACCGATCTTCTCTGCCGTTGCGAAGCCCTCACCTAATACCGTCACCATGTTCACGATGAAGGTATTTCCGAGTAGCTTAAGCTTTAGCGAGTTCGCTGGCGGCTGGTCCTCGAATGGAATCTCTGCCCGGCCCATTACGCCCTTGATATAGGGTCGTATCTTGTCGATAGCAGACTTGGTTCCTGCGGGAACGAAACTGCGTTTCTAATATAAGCAAATAGGTTCTTAGAGTAGGTTAGGGTGAAAGATTCCGACTTACACAAGCTGGCCTGCTTCGGCTGCTGCTGGCGCTCCGAAAACAGGACTCGCAATGAAATCGCCCCCCTTCTCTGCTACTGAGTCGGCGGCTTTTTGTGCGGTGTCTGGATGAATCGTAGAGCACTCAATGAACAGCTTGCCCGTTACGTCAACTTTAAGAATGGTGTCGAAGACGTTCTGGACTGCAGCGTCGTTAGAAAGGATGACGAAGATTATGTCGGCCTTCTTGACGCCCTCCTCGATAGAATCGATGATCTCAGTCTTTCCCGCGGGAAGCTTAGATGCCACGTCCTCGGAACGCTTTCTGGTTCGGTTGTATAAAAGCAAGGGCTTCTCGAGGTTGCCTTTCTCTACCAGATTCTTCACCATCCCCTTAATGAGAGAATCAGTGAGTCAAGCATAAGTATTATGATATTGGAGACTTACCCGCCCCATGTTCCCTAAACCGATCCATAATAGTTGAGGTGCCATATTTATTATTATATCTCACCGGCTACTAATATATATTAGTAATTATGTTAATCACTATAGTTACCTAAGATATATAATAAGAGGTGGTGAGTATACTTAGATAATAGTACCTTTTATTTGAGCGTGATAGAAGATCAGTTATTATAACACCCAGATACATTCAACAAATCTAAAGTGGTTATGTTTTTTTAAAGCGTCTATATTTCAAGCTTTAGGAACATCAGCAGAGGGGTAGCCTTTGTATCTAATATGATAAATAACTGTTGCAATCACTGGATGATAATATGCCCGGCCATTGACTAAAGTTGCCCCGCAAGCTTCCGGTCTAAAGCGACCTCTAACGGCCAATTTTCGTCATTAACATTCGGCTTTAACTTGTTCATGTAACTATGCGAACAACTAAACTTACCTACTTATATCGGCAGATGGTTGATGCATGCATAGGGGTTAAAACAACCTCATGCTTTAACCCACAAAATCCAAGTTACTAAACCAAAAGCTATAGTTATAGCAATCATAAACATGCGCTTAGCCGCCCAGGATGTTATTAAGTAGTAGGGTACGGACCGGCGTTCGCGCAAATTTCGCTCTTATTACAAACCTCCCTCGAGGACCTCATCATTGTCGACCTCTTCATCTAGCTCCACCTTTTCTCCTAGAGGACTATACTCCTCGGTACCAGTTTCTATCGGAGGCCGACGCCGCCAAGAAGCGCGAGCTAGCCCGCGCGCACCTCCGGAACTGTAACCTCTGCCCCCGGCTTTGCGGCGTTAACCGCTACGAGACGACGGGCATGTGCCTCATCGGACATGATGTCAAGGTCAACGTAATCGCTCCTCATTTTGGCGAAGGTCAGGGAGCTGATTCCATAATATTCGTTAATCCGATTTCAAACTAATATAAGCAATAGAGCCTTGTATACAGGGTCACAACGGTAGTGGCTCTGTCTTCTTCTCCGGGTGTAATCTTCGATGCACCTTTTGTCAGAATCATGATATTGCTCATCAGAGGAATGGATTCGACTTGACGCCCGAAGAACTGGCGAAGTGGTATATTAAATTGCAGGATGTTGGCCACGTTCACAATATTAATCTAGTTACTCCCGAGCATGTGGTGCCGCAAGTGGCTTTGTCCATATTACATGCACGCGATTTGGGATTAAAAGTCCCCATCGTTTACAATACGTCAGCATTCGACTCGCTCGCATCATTGGAGCTCATGGATGGACTTGTCGATATTTATTTGCCAGACTTTAAGGTATGGAACAAGGCTACGTCTCAACGCCTGCTGAAAGCCGAAGACTATGCCTCTACCGCCGCTGAGAGTATTAAGGCGATGCATGCGCAAGTCGGGGACTTATGTTTCACTGGTGACGGTATAGCGAAGAAAGGCGTATTGGTCAGACACTTAGTAATGCCGGGAAAGGAGGCAGAAAGTGAAGAAATCATGAGATACCTAGCGCAGGACGTTTCGCGAGATATCTTCGTCAACATCATGGAGCAGTATAGACCCGATGCTCACGTTGGGAAACCAAAGAGAAGAAACAAGAAAGAGACGACTGAAGAGGGAATTCAAGAGGAGGTCAGATACGCGGATATTAATCGACCCGTTACCAAGGAAGAAATATCAATTGTGAGGAAGACTGCAGAGGCTGTAGGACTGGTAAGCTCTATCTTATTCAAACCATTTACACTACGTATGAATCATATGAAGTTAACGATCGCTAACTCGGACTGATAGTGGCGTTTTTGCGATCCTCCTCGACACGACGGTTTTGCTATATGACGTCTTTTACATACATAAGGGTCTACTGAGAGTATTATAATTCTAGGTAGATTCTTAAATTTGGTATAGTTAACTATACTATCAGTCTGATATGTTCTATACATAAACCTGAGAACCTCCTTTTCTTTTTTTGAAAGACATTGATATAGCCTAGACGGGAAACTTTACACTCTAGAACTCGCTTTACTCATTCCAGAATCATTTCCATTGTGGGTGCGAATCAGTCCCTACTAGATAAAGTCTCAGTCTACAGTCTAAGGTGTATTTGTATAGTTATGGTAAATGTCTGTTACGTTCCAGAGTATGACAACTTTTGTTGATACTAACATCATACTACAGAACAATAAATCAATCCTAGGAGTTCGGTTCTACACTGCATAAGTAGGTATCTGTTCTCTTTATAGAAACTCTAGCCACACCTGGAATCGTAGTTTGCCTTGTACTGATATTATTGTCGTGAAACCAGAGCACCCTAGAGAATTGTCTCTTCTTGAACTCTTTCTATTCATTTTCTTACACTGGTGTATATCTGTCTCATCCGCTTTACTAGATGACTTGGATTGATCTACAAATAGCCCCGTCTCTCCACGTATATACAGCATAGAGTAAGTCCTATAAACTAAGTTCGCAGAGGCCCCAACTTCATTATGCCAGAAAATACAGGAGACCAGAAGCCCCGCCATAATAATAGCTTCAGGAATCATATGGATAGATCACAGCCATCCCATTACCGTAGAGGTTCTGGATCAGAACCTAAGCAGACGAAAGTCCGCAGTGACCCCTGGCAATCGGTTAGTGCATTACAACTAGGACTTCACCCACGTCCCTTCCATGAACTACATACAGAGCGTATATGTCTCCTCGAAATGCTACAGTTGCATAACAAAAGAGCCCTCGAACTATTTGAACAGGTGCCAATCTCCGAAGAGAATATACAAAATGCCGATACCCCGTACAAGCTCAGACAAGCGAAGAAGAATCGCGGCTGGTTGAGACACCGTATCACTGACACTGTCGATGAGGAGAAGAAGGTACTAGCGCGGCTGAGCGAACTGCATGTTGAGATACAGTGCCAGGAGAGATGGGTCCAAGTTGAGATGAAGAGGGTAGCGAGGGGACTTTCGCAGCAACAGCACAATCCCAACTTTCCAGATTACCCTCCACCGCCGCCAATATCGCCATGGCCCCGTCCGAACCCACCTCCGGCCCACAACGCTCATCATTCACCCTACGTGGGTATTGTATACCCAAACGCACCGTCTTGGGACGCCTTTCCGAACCAAGGAGCTTATCCCGGATATTGTTGGCCAAATCAAACTTACATATGTCCCCCGAACGTGCCGGAAGCCCATCATACGCCCGGGCCATTTGAAATAGATGGTACCTTTACTAGTAATGTAATGGACGATACGTCCAACAGTCATGTAGAAGTTACTGCGAGAAGCCCTGAACTAGAACAGCGGCGGCCGAGTACTCCGCCTCTAATAGATGAAGACGGGTCCGAACACAATCAAAAGCGGTGCAATTCTACATGGTTTTAGGGTACTGGCACGTTCTTTAGAATGCAATGCGAAGGGACGGTATGGATTTTGGTAAAGGGGGAGCTCATAAGTCATCGTTTAGAGTGTTTATAATGAGAATCTACTTTGTCTTGAGAGTAAGACTATTACCGATAGTTGTATCATCCCATCCCTCCGCCGTAAGCTATCCAGTAATAAACTTTAGTTTAAGCTGCCCAAATCCAGTGCTCATGCAAATTCTCCAAACTTGCCGTTGTCAAACCCTAAATCCTGCGCCGACAACCGTTTTGCGCGCGTGCTGCTATGCGAAGTCGGCGGCGGCGGAAGTATTCCCGGACCGCGAGGCGCTGCCGCAGGTGATGCCGAAGACGGCGGCGGAGGTAACGAGAACGACGATAGACCTTCGTTGTTCGAACCCTGAGGAGGTGGCTCTGGCTTCCGTCTGCCGAATCTTCCCGGTAAGTTGACCGTAATCGTCTCGCCTTCCTTCAGGCTGAGATCGCGCTTCTCAGCACTGTCTTTCCGCTCGACGACCGGCTTCTTCCCGGCCTGCCCCCCGGCCTGATTGCTCCAGCCAAGGGTCTTCTGGGCCTCCTGCAAGGACACACCGAAATCGAAAGCCTCGCTACGCTCCTCGAAGCCGACGCCTAGAGTGGCTTTGCGGCCGGCGTCGTCCTGCACGCGCAGCGCAAAGAACCGCGAGCTATCGGAGACGGGCTCGACAATTGCGGCAGCCGTGTACGGTGCCGCGGCAAATAGCTGGCCCGTGCTGGCGTCCTCGAGGATGATATCCGTCTTCACCTGCTCGTCGCCATCACCATCGGTGTCGGCGTCGGCGTTGTTGCCGGGCACGGGGATAGCAGTCTCGATGACACGCATGCGCGCTGTAAAGATCTGTCGGTCATTACTACCCTCTCCCGTCCAGGTCGCCGCGACATGTCCCTTCCCGGGGGTCATGGGCGGGATGTTGTAGACATGCACGGGGTTCGCTACGAATAGCACTCTTTGGATGGCATCGGGTGGCAGCGTTCGACCAGTAGCCGGGTCGATTGACTCCATAATTTTTTCCTTCCTTTGCCTTGATTTTAACCTTAGGTTAGGTACCTAACCTAACCCCACGTAAAGCGGACAACGTACAGAAAGTTATGTGGTGAGGGGTGAGGGGTGGTCTATCCGGTTTGCTAGTCGGAAGTTGATGCTTCTTTATCATGTAAGTCCAGCCAGCGTCTACGGGTATGACGAGGGTCGGCGGCGGAGCTTTTAGACCACCCCTGAGTCCCTGCAGGTCTGCAGGTCTGCAGGAGCTGCCCCCTATTATGTACCTACATGTAGCTTCCCCTCCCGGGTCTGCATATTGTTGCCTGGTTGTAATCCGTAGGCCTGGAAGAAGCCGCTAATGCCCAAAGTTTAAAGAATCTATGTGGGTAGGTACCTATGTACTATAGGTATATGGATTGCCCCGCTAAGATAATCGATAAGATAACTTTAGAAATACTAGTTAGTTATACCTTGAAGTTTCCGATAATCTACCGACTCCATGCGCTTTATCGAAAAATCCTCAGCGTCACTTATACTATCTAGCCTAAGGTCCTCATCAGCATAGCATTGAGCTCCGCCGCGAGCTTGGAATTGCGCATGATGGCTGGCCGGAGTGTTTCCCCTGGGGCGGCGCTCCTGAGATCATCTCGGATGTTCTCAATGCCAGCCCCAATACCTGCTCCTCCTGGTGACCTTTCTTCGGCAACTAAACACTACTCTCCGACTTCCACGATCCCTTTCCCGACGCATCTTACTGTGACGACGACTGCGTCCTCTCGAATCAATGGCGACTGGGGTTTTAAAAGACCATTTCCTCTAAAGACCACGACGAAGACCACCTATCCCCTTGCGCGGGTAAGGCAGGTCGATTCTGTCGAGCAAGTTACAGATTTCCAGTCTGCATCAGACCATACGATGACTTTACGGAAGTACCAGGAAATGAACCTGCCAATTAGTGTACCAATTTCAAACACCCAGGATACTCATTCGGCTGTTAAATATACGAAGTCGGTCTTTGAAGAGGATGCCGATTTGACTGCTTTGAGCGATGAGCAGAAAGCGCAACTGGCAAACAAGAGGTGGAAGTTCTCAGGGCCATGGCTTGCCGGTATGACAGATGGCGACTTTAAGAAATTCCTTGACAAGAAGGTGCGGAATAAGCGTGTGGAATTCCGTGCCTTTTTAAAGAAGATCTATGCGGCCGAGTTATCGAAGGAACAGGCACAGAAGGCTAGCGAAGCTGGGGAGGCGATACCACCGCCACTCACCGGCGACAATATTACGGATGACCAATTGACAGACTATATGAGGGTACTGAGGCAAGACCGCATGGACCTATACAACCTCGTTAGTCGGTTCCTAGATCTTGCTCCAGTGGATTTGGCTACCGAACTCCATATGCTTGGTAGATTGATACCAGGAAAAAGGAAAGAACTCGTCAGTGGGAGTCCGTATGGGGCAACTGGACCCCCTATTACACACCCTTCAGCTGGTATTTCTTATCTGCGCACCCGGAATTTCCAGGAGAACCATGCAATCTACGGACCTCAATTACAGCACGCCCCTATCAAGGCGAGAGTCTTGAAACCTACGAACTTCACTGCGAAAAGTTTTAAACCGAGTATCGGTATTGCTGGATTTGTCGGTAACACGCCGAACGAGGATACAGCATTTAACTCATCGAAGCAGAGGAACGTATCTGAGTTCAACACAGCTATACACAAGCTGGATCTCGATAAATACGGCGGATCGAAGGTCTACGTGCTGCCCAACATGGCCACAGTCGATTCCACCGGAAGGGTTTACGTCAACATAGGGGAGGCGAATGAGGTGAGCGTGTTGGTGCAGAAAGAGATGGTGGGAGAGGGCACCGTATTCGACGAGGTTGTGAAGAAGGGTGCGACCCCGCAAGTTCCCCGTAATCCTAGGGACACTGGTAGCTTCAGCGCGCGGCCGGGAAGCAGGGTGTCCGGCAGTGCGAGTAGTTACGGCCTCGGTCGTACTTTTGGGAACAATAACGACTACGAGTAGGATTCACGAGGGCTATAGTCCCTAAAGTGGGATGAAGCAACGGAGACATCATGTAGCATTTGATGTAAGCTCTGTGCTTTGTATGATTTCTGTACATATCAGATAGGAGATATCCTCTATAAAGTAATAGAGGAGGCCTAGTAAATCAACACCCAAGCTCAAGTAATTCCATCTATCCTCTTTGACTTTATGTGGTATATGGTATCTGGAATATGTAGTGGGACTCAATGAAGATATGTAATAGTAGGACTGCCAGCTGTCAATCGCAATTCAGCGGCTGTCAGATAAGTACTTAGATACTTAGGTACTTAGACAAGGACCCATTAATTCTTGCCAATCAAGTCCCGACGTGATTCTCTCCTGCCCTAGGACCCAGAGTTTTACCGAATTTCCCCCCCACACAGATTCTGCACACTCCCAATAATTCTTTTTCGAGACATTCTCAAGCGCAACTTTTAACAATCTTCGGACTTCTTTCAACAACCACATTCTACCCCTACTAACCCGTAGCCAATACCGCCAAAATGGGTCGTGTTCGCACAAAGACTGTCAAGAAGTCCGCCAAGGTCATCATTGAGCGGTACTACCCCAAGCTCACTCTCGACTTCGAGACCAACAAGCGCGTCTGCGATGAAATCGCTATCATCGCCTCCAAGCGTCTACGCAACAAGGTCAGCAACTACCTCCGGCTTTTATACGAGATGGAAATTCGCATGCAATTGCAATGGTCGAACTAGCAGGAAATCCAAGCTAACTGGGAGGCTTACAGATTGCCGGCTACACTACCCACTTGATGAAGCGTATTCAGCGAGGACCCGTCCGTGGTATCTCCTTCAAACTGCAAGAAGAGGAGCGAGAACGCAAGGATCAATACGTCCCCGAAGTCTCCGCCCTTGACTTCGTCCAGAACACCGAGGCTGGCCAACTCGATATCGATGTTGAGACTAAGGACCTGCTGAAGCACCTTGGCGTACGTTTCTTCTCCCTCCGCTGTCTTGAAGTTAGATGTCATTTGCTTACCATGATCTGATATATAGTTCGACAACGTCCCCGTCAACGTCGTTCCCGTCACCCAGCAGCAGACCGCTGAGCGACCCCGCAGATTCGGCGACCGCGCTCCCCGATAAACGTTACAAATATTAGCGATTTCATCAGGTGAAAAGTGAAGGAGGGTTATGATGGTTGGTTTGGGCAACTGGTATCGGTCTTAACATGGCTTTACGGCGTCTCTACTACGGACGATAGTAGGTACCATTCTAGATCCGCAATTGACGAGATCTTTCCCACACAAGGTGTCCCTGATTCTCCAGTGCTCTCTCTGGGGATGACGGTTGATGGCCAATTCTTATTCCTTCTGCCCATACGTGACTTGTACTTGACTGGGATTTACAATGTCTAGGTCTTTATTAACTCCCCAGTCCCCGTAAGTTGGACAACTCGGCATTAGGTATAAGGGGATGGTCATAATGTTGGCCATTACACTGTGTGTCTCGGTACAAGTTATTGTCTTTGCCATTATTTTCTACTAAGGGTATCTCAAATGAATCTAATCAGAACGCCGGAACTATGCTAGTAATGATCAAATACTATTATATCATTCTGATGTCGGCTTTTCAGAATCATCCTCTTTCACATCTTCGTCTTCGCCTTTTTGTTCTAGCTCTTGGTTGAATTTTGGTTTGTAACCGTCCAGTACTAAATGGCTCTCGCCATCCTTATCCAGCGTGGGCTCTTGCGGAGCCATCCTAACGGATTTCTCCCTAATCGTAAGCTTAACCTTTCTCGTAGACGGCTTGTCCACCGCATCACCTCGTTCGAGCGCCAGATCCTTAGCATCCTGGGCAGCCTTCCTTTCCACGCTCTGTAACTCCCTCTCTAGTCGTCGAGTCGCATCGTCTTCTTCTTCATCGGCCTGCTTCGGCTCGTCCAACAAATCGATCCGGATAGATGAAATGCCCGCTCGTTCCCAAGCCGCGGTCTCACCAAGCTGCACCTTGACGTACATGGCGCGGCGAGCGCATTCCCTCGAACACCACCGCTCCAACTCCTTTCGTGGCACGATGCCAAAGTCCCCCCGCCCCCAGCTCACCAGCTTATACTCGCCGCCCGGGCCAAGACGCACGCGCGGTCGCGGGCACAGCGCGTACCCGCATTTCTTGAGCGTGTTGCGCTCTTCGATCAGGTCCTCGTAGTCGCCCGGCTGGAAGAGCCGGACTAACTGGCGGAAGGCATCGGCGTCGGAAGGGGAGGGATTCGAGGCGTCGTATGTAGACGAGGAGGCTAGGGGAAGCTTCGATAGCTCGATGATGGTGTCCTGGATTTCGTCTTCGAATACTTGCTGCTGCTGGATTATGCGCGCTTGTTGGATGGCCGTTTGGCGTACGTCGGGTTTGGAGGCGGCTGGTTTGTGTTCTTCGATTGGGAAGGGGGAGATGGGAGCTATGGCTGTGGAAGGGGATGAGGTATTGGTTGTTGTTGTTGTTGTTGTGGGTTTCTTTAAGATCCCCTTGGGCTTCTTGGGTTGTGATGAGGCTGTTGAAGTTGCTGAAGACATATTGTTCAGATCCTTGGTATGATTTTCGTTATTTTGGTAGATCTAAAGAATAGGTAATTAGGTCGTTGTAGCTCTTCAACTATCGTATTGAAATTCTATATCGGCGTCACAGTCCCGCTATTACGTAGTGACACGGTGGAGGGAGTAAATCTGTTTTAATATTTTGGACAGTTTCGTATGTATTATCTGCAGAAATCGTAATCACCCCGCACGGTGCGAGTTGTACGGAATACTCTTCCACAATTTAGGTTAGGTAGTCCTGATAAGGCAATGTGCCACAATGAAAGCTGAGGCGTTTAGCCACCGGACTTACTTACCTTCCATACCTCCATAATATAACAAAAAGGAGCTTGTCTCAAGCGAGGGAAAGGTGCATATAACATCGTCATTGGCCCGTGCACTTGCCTTAACATTAAACATACTCTCATAGTAGCAGCCTAGTCTAGGGACGTTCGGAGCGGGCATCAGCATTGAAGCTAAGCCAAGCCGACGAAACCCTGCACACTGCATTGCATCCTTTCCCTCACATTTGAATCCCATCAGGCGTCCAACCGCACTTTTCAGAACTTTTTTTTTTATCTTTTGCCGATTAGATTAGTCCCGACCCCTTACTGATCCCGTCGCTACTACGGGCCTCATAGTGGAATACGGAAAGCGGAAAGCGGAAAACGGAATACGGGGAATACAAAGCAACATATTCATTAATCATATGCACCCAACCCAACCTTGAAGCACGCAACCTCGGTCGACCAGGCTAAGCTTGGCTTTTACGGTGGGTTACATCTCATCTATTCAATCGTGTAAAAAAACCATATAAGGGTACAAGTTCATGCGCTGACGTCGACCTACTCCCAGCCGCTAGCTGTGACAGGCTGCTTGCGAATGCTCAGCCTCATGCGTTCCCCTTTCAACCTAATTTATCGGATCGTGATACATCACCTGTTGTATTAAACAAACTCGAGAATAGATTCTTGTTTCCTCTCCAACGGCTAGAGAGAGAAACAAAAACAATTTACAGACCCCACGGTCGCCTTCATCTTACTCACTGTCTACGACCCCGCCAATTACACAAGAAGCTCCCGAGATCGAGTTCCACCAAGGTAATATTGCAACATTACCACGCTTGACATTTCCATCATCATGGCTGCCGTGCCATTCAAGGTGAAGGCCATTTACGAGTACACCTCGAGCCACGAGGACGATCTGCCCTTTGGAATTGGCCAAATCATAACCGTCACCGATAATGAGGAAGATGATTGGTACGGCGGTGAATATGTTGATGATTTAGGGGTGAGGCGAGAGGGAATATTTCCCCGAAACTTCGTGGAGAAGTATGAACCGACTGCCCCGCCACGTCCAACAAGAACTCGTAAGAAGGAGGCAGAGGCCCCTTCCTCGCCTCCGCCGCCACCAACAGCTGCTCCATCCTCTCCACCGCCTGTGGAGGAGCCTGCGGATATACCATCAGAAGTAGCCTACGGAGAACCACGTGTTGCTTCACCGCCGATTCCAGTTCCCGCTCCCCGCTCTCCTCCGGCCCCAGTTGCTCCTGTAGCTAAACCGCCAGAGCCAGCCCCCATCCCGGCTCCCGTCCCCGTCCAACCTAGGGCTTTCGAGCCGGCAAGCCCACGAGTCGCTGCTCCGCCGGTATCAAAATCTCCAGCTCCGGGTCCTGCTCGAGCCGCTCCCCCGGTGTCTGAGAAGCCCGGTGGCAATTCCTTCAGAGATCGTATAGCAGCTTTTAACAAGCCAGCAGCTCCTCCGGTTGCCCCTTTCAAACCTGGCAACCTTAGCTCCGGCAGTTCCGGTTTTATCAAAAAGCCTTTTGTCGCTCCCCCGCCCAGTAGAAATGCTTTTGTGCCTCCGCCTCGCGATGTGCCTACCGCTAAAGTATATCGACGGGATGAAGATCCCGAGATCAAAGCTACAGAGGCAGAATCTCTAGAAAGTGCGGAGAAGGCCGGGCTCGTTCCTGCGGGGACCTCCGAAGGTCAAGCGGAAGACGTACCCAAACCAACTAGCTTAAAGGAGCGAATTGCCTTACTCCAGAAGCAACAGGCTGAAGCAGCTCAACGTCATGCTGAAGCCGTTGCAAAAAAGGAGAAGCCTAAACGTCCTCAGAAAAAGCGTACCGAGAGCGAGGAAGGGACACCAGCAGATGAGGCGGCAGAAGCTCCGCCTCCTTTGGAAAGAAAGGACACAGCTGAAGTCGCTAGCAAAAAATCTATGGACGAGCCTAGACCTCCACGACTGTCAATAAGTTCTCGGCGAAGGTCTTCTGCAGCACGTCCTGAGAATGACGGGAACGAGGCGGACATGTCTGGCGCAGGAGACACAACAGAAGGGCAAGAAGATCTCACCGAGAAAGAAGATAGTGATGAAAAATCTCGTCCCCATAGAGGAACTGCTGCTGAGCCAGAAATCCCAGAGGATCGAGAGGGGGAAGAAGGACAGGAGGAGGATGTCGACCCCGAGGTCAGGCGAAAGGAGGAGCTTCGTGCCAGGATGGCGAAGATGAGCGGTGGCATGGGCTTCCATGGTATGTTTGGTCCGCCCGGGATGATGCCCGTCGGAGGCCCGGCGATACCCAAGAAGCCTAAAGCTTCACCACCATCAGAGCGCCGTTCGAGCGAAATTCAAGACAGGCCTTCGTCGCCTAGAATGTCCGCTCCCCCGGTGCCGACTTTGATGGCTCTCCCTGGCATGGGGAAACCCAAGCAGGAAGAAGAAGAAGCTGCCAAATCCGATCATGATGAGCCAGGCGAGCAAGACATTACACCAGTTGTCAGTGCTCAGCCAACTGGCTCAGCTCCAGAACGTAAGTTTCAACCCCGGCGTGTGCTTTGTCTTATTATGACTACGGTAAGGCGATTAACACGACGGTCAGCTCTGTCAAATACATCTAGTGCTCCACCTCCCGTCCCTGGAAGCCGACCTGCACCACCCCCGGTGCCTACAGATTGTTGGTTTCACCTTTATTTTTATTCTTTATAGTATTATACTAATTATCTTCCCAGCTCGACCCCTTCCCACCGGCGTAACTTCACCCAGCCAGGGCTCCGAATCCGATGACGAATTATCCGAGAACCCCCAGAGAGCTCTCGAGACTCCCCGAAGCGAGGCTCCCCCGGCTCCCATAGCCTCTCCTACAATGCCGACTTCACCACGAATTCCCAATCGGCCGACCTCCTATATGGGCGAACAAGCTTCACCAACCTCCCCGCCGGTGCCAAGTAAGAGGAATAGCCGCCCTCCGCCTCCTATACCAGGCGGTGCTCCACCTCCCCCTATCCAAAGTCGTCCCCCACCCCCTCCTCCCCCTGGTGGCCCCCTAAGTCGCTCTTCTACAGCTGATGAACGAATTGCACTCCCAATGCGGCCTGGGACTTTGGACAACGGTGAAGAGGGTGAAGTTACTGAATATGAAGGCGATTATGACACTGACATCGCATCTTCGGTCCCTCATAAGGATGCGCTTAAGTCGCATGCCCGGGATTCGAGTTTCGATGACAATACCTCATTGCGTTCACCGGTAACCGATATTCCACCTTTGCTACCCCCTCCGGTCCCCAGCGCCGCTGCTCCGAGAGCTGGTCCGCCGCCACTGCCCAGTCAACCTCCACCAGGCTCGAGGGGTTCTATCGACGTACCTCGGGCCGCTCCTCCACCACCACCTCCAAAAGAGGCATCGTTTAACGATGACGATTATGATCCTTTCAATTATAATGCCGCCCAAAGTTCTTCTGCCGCGGCTGCCCATAGTCTAGCCACCCATGATGAGCCGACACCAACACCTCAGTCGGCTTCCGCGTATCATTCGCCGCCTCCGCCTCCGCCAGTCACCCGAGGGCCCCCACCAGCACCGCCAGTTAATAGGGCACCACCTCGAAAATCATTAGACGTGCAAAGACCAGGTGGAAGAAGATCAGTCGACGCCTCCCGACCGTCAATGGAAACGGGCTACGTGGCAAATGAGATTGATTTAGCCGGCCATACACAATGGTGGCTTTCGCCAACCGGACTTCCTCCGGTCTTTCAAGGTAGACCAGATATTTATACCGAATGCGATGAGTCAACCTCTGGGACGTCAGTTACCAAAGAAGTGTTTATCCTATTCCAAGATTACTCGCAAACCGTAGTCACGGTTCATTTCGACAGCCAAAATCCCGCAGACGTTCAGCTTGAGCAACGCCATGAAGCACCTCCTCGGAGCCTTCGCCAGGACGAGCTAGAAGGGGCGTACGAGCAATTTGGTCGAGCACTATCCAGTGCCGTTGCGACTAAGAAGGACTCAGTCGTTGGCGACGGATCTCCGTGGGCGCTCATCTTAGAACTTCTCAAGCCTCTGAAAGGTGTCCTACTTCCCGTCGGCAGACGCGGTTATGGTGCCTTAGTCTACGCCAATTTAGCTAATGCTTCGACACAACTAAACGACGAAATTAGACCGGGAGATATCATTTCTATCCGCAATGCCAAGTTTCAAGGTAAACATGGACCTATGCACGCCAAATACACTATGGAAGTGGGCAAGCCGGACCACGTGGCGATCGTCGCAGAGTGGGACGGTACCAAGAAGAAGGTTCGGGCATGGGAACAGGGTCGCGAAAGCAAAAAAGTAAAACAGGAGAGTTTCAAGTTGGAAGATCTTAGGAGTGGCGAAGTGAAGATCTGGCGGGTGATGCCGCGTAGCTGGGTCGGGTGGAGTTCAGACTAGCGGTCTCGAGGACCGTCCTGCGAATACCTGTGGCCGATACTCATGAGGGTCGGCACAGATGGGAGGGTCAGTGTGGATAGCCCTATGCGAATGCTGTTCTAATTTCTCCCCACTTCCCCTTACTCCCTATTAGTTAGTACGGCGGAGAGATGACGTCGGCGGCAAAAGGGGTAAAGGAAGTAATAGAATCTACGGTATGAAGCATTAAGTGGGGGGGTGAGGTGTGGATATCATGGAAAGAGGACAGAGATGAAGATGAGAGGCGTGATGATGATATTATTGATGAGGACTAAGACAGGAGTGAAATGGAAAGCAACGAAGAAGCAAAAGCAAGAAGCATTCGTTAAGGTATCCGGGTCGAGTCGCTCGTGTCATAGTCATAAGTCACGATCGTAATCAGTCATAGTCATGATCATAGTCACAGCTAAAGCTATGGATGATGATGATAATGATGGATGTTCTTCTACCACGATTGACAGCAGCGTTGTTATTACTACCTACTTACTACCTACTTATTACTACATACTTCGCTCATGTACGTTACGGTAGCTATTGCGGAATTTGCGTCTTTTTTTGTTAGACCAGACTTTGCTTGCGTGGTTTTTTTTTGTTTTTTTTTAATACTGTCTTATACGACTCGAGACTACATAGGTATATCTTGATTCTCGTCGTGATTACCTACTGGTAAGCTATGTTCTCATATTGCATGCGACATCCCGCGATCAGGGAAATGTATGCGTATGATATACGTATAGGTACACATTTTATGTCGCATCGACGTTGGATATCCGCGCAAGATTCGCGTTGCTATAAATATCTCACCTCTTATACATAGGAGTAGTATAGTGTATCCAGTATTTTTCACTTTCTCCCTTGCCCTACTTATTTCTACTTGTTGACTCGGTATGTACACCTGTTTACTTACTTACTTACGTATAGCAGCACACACTTAACCAAGAACAGTTGTATCGGAACATGATGTTCCTAATGTTAGGTATTTACTAGCGAAGTGTTGTTGGGTATCTAGGTACCCAGGTATGGGAGATGGATAGGCATAGTTGCACGTGTTTGGAGGATTGGCGTTGGAAGCTGGATATCTGACGTAACTGTTTAATAATGAAGGGAGATGGGTATGTTCTAATGGGGGTTGACTGATGGTAAGTAAACTGGTTGATTACCTAATCGTTCACTTAGATACAGGATAGGAGAATATGAATGAGATGCATAGGTGAAAGTGAAACTTGTCTATAACTTGGTGGTAACTTCGGCGGTATTTTAGTTTTTAGTGTCCCGTATCACAACCTAACTAGCTTGAGTAACTGACTACCTATATGCCGGTAAACTATATCTTAGGAGAATTAAGGAATAGGTAACTAGGTAACTACCTAAGTTACCATGATTATAATATTCCTAAATCAACGGATGATGCATCAACTCAAGTCTCCGGCTCTTCGACTGAACCTTCCCCGTACGGAATATTCTACGTACAACATTTACCTATGCTGTCGTCCTCCCCCCTATAAACAAATCTTCAAGTAACACACCAAAAGAATACCGACATATAGATAATAATAAAAATGTCATCTTGCACAATACGTCATCATATTTTTTTTAAGACCGGGGTATATAGGATATGTTTATGTACGTGCTGGGTTTATTCTCGTTGCACGACAGCCGGTGAGAGAAAATGGAGGAAAGGTGGAAAAGGTGGACGTCATTTAGCTTAGGTCAGGTACGGAGGTGCAGAGGGAACACATTAAAAAAACCCAAAATTTGTCATTATACCCACCCCCACGTATAACCTTATTTTTTTTTTAAAAATTCGATAAGCGAATATATGATATAACTTAATGAAATAAATCGATAAAAATGAACGTAATATAGTGAAATTTACATATAATTTTAAATTATTTATATAAATTTTTAAAAAATATAAATATTTTTATATTATATTTATTTATTTTATTTATTTTTAAAAATAAAGTTTATTATTTATAAAATTAATAAATTATTTTAATAAATTATTTTAATACGATAATATAAACTTTTTTAATTTATACGTTTATTAATTTTTTATGATAAATTTTATTTTAAATTAAATATAAAATTAATAAATTATTATAATAAATTAAAATAATATAATAATATAAATTTTTTTAATTTATACGTTTATTAATTATTTTATTAATTATTTTATTAATTATTTTATTAATTATTTTATTAAATTTTTATAATAATTTTTAATTTATTTAATATAAATAATAAATTTTATTTTAAATTAATAAATTTTAAAAATTTAAAATGTTTTATTTATTTTATTTATTTTATTTATTTTATTTATTTTATTTATTTTATTTATTTTATTTATTTTATTTATTTTATTAATTTTATTACGTAATTTTAATCACGTGTTATTTAAATATTTATAAAAAAAAATTTTATTATTAAATTTTATGTAATTAAAAACTTACTATTTAATACATATCATGGCTATAAACCTACCCTATTCATTTAAAAGCTTATATGTAATAAACAATATAGTTCTAATCGGTCTTATTTTGATTTACCCCCTTCACCCTTGGGGTCAGTCCAATAATTTTAGCGTTTTTTTAATGTGTTCCCTCTGCACCTCCGTAGTCAGGCCGAAATCTGAATTTGAAGACGATGCAGTCCTACATAATAATTAAGTAAGCCAAGCCAGACACAACAATACAACAATATCTATAATACCTATGCACCACAATGTTTATAATATTTATATCTGACTATACAATTAACTAGGTTATACAATTAATTAGGTTATACAATTAATTATATAGTTACATCTGCAAATATGTCATAGATCTCATACATCTATCTATATCTTACTCTCCTTCACCTTAACCCTCCGGCCCATCATCTTCGGAATAATATGGCTCGGAGAAGGCGACGCGAACACCCGAGACATTTCTTACTTGACCGCTGAATTCTTTCTTTCGCGTTCGCTGATTTGTAACCTTGACACGTGATACACGTGATACACGTGCAAGAGCTGTCCGACCTTCTAAGTCTAAAGCTGTATGTCTCACGTGCCTTGTTCTATTTCAACCCGGTTTAGGCTTTGTAGTAGTAGGCCTTCTGCAGTGACAAGCCCATTTGGAAAGACAACACTGATCATGTGTTCGTGTGCCTTGGCCTAGTAACATGAAATTTCCCAGCATTATCCAGCATTATCCTTCTTAGGGTAACTCGCGTACTACCTTTGTTCCGAAACTACAACCTCTTTTTTTGAGGCTTAGAACATCAGCCCGGCTTTAGCCCCTGAAAATCCAAACCCCAGTACGCTCATGATTGAACCGCTTCGGGGAGAATACTGCCAAGTATTAGGCGAAGGGATTGTTACAGAATACTCTAATCCGTCTGTCGGCGGCGAGTATAACAAATAGCATCCATGAATATAGGTTACGGCCAATAACCTCCAGGCCGCCATGTTATTGTGCCCAATGTCTCTGAAATACGACGTGCATCTTAGACAAGGGAAGGGAAGTCCGGCAGAGGGACGATGAGTCTCGAATAAGCAAAATTCTTATCTTCACCATGCTGTTTGCTGCGCCAACCCTGCTATCACATATGTTAGCCTAACTCGATATAGATGAACGATACACTCGACCGGATCACTAGGAATGCGTGGAATAGGAGAACTGGATGGCGAAAAATAGCCCGGCAATTGGCGTTGAGAAACCGCTGTGACAGGCCATCGTCCACGAGTTGTGGCAAACCAATGGCCAGTAGAATCAACTGCGCAAATCTCGTCCAAGCACGGACGGGGTGGATCGCGAGACGACGACTCGGACCTTAATCGACAATGTAGAGTTGGTCGCTGGATTTACCGAGCGTGTCCGATAGGATAAATCTTGCATCACAGGGTCACAGTCTTACTACGGGGTACATTGATGGTCCAATGTCCTTCCACTCACGCTCCCCACGTTCATATATATTAGCATATCGGAGAAAAGCAACGCATGCGTTGGTCGGAGCCACCGCAAGGGATCGAGAGGTTAAGTGCTTATCTCTAAAGCCATCAATTGGGGCTATAACCGTTGCCAGCTCGTGGGAACTCGAATTGATGGGAATTAAGACCCTGGATCTTCTTCATATCTGAATCGACCCTTTGCCCGACCCAATGGTCCGACGAGCAGGACGTGGGGACATGGAGAATATAATCCATATTTTTATGCGAATTGGTATCTATATCTAAATTTTTTTTTTCTTGAGTCCGTGGTCTAGGTTCGCATCTCGGGCAATCCAGGGATGGGATCTATGCGAAGCAGTACTAAGATTGCCGCTGCACGCGCCACGACACAGCCTATGCGTTCTAAACGGCGATGTTGTGAAGACCCCTACTTCGTTGTAATAAATAACAACGAAATATGTTACTAGGGACGGGTAGTTACTACCTTGACTAGGATTTTAGGAAACATGACCATATACTCAACATGAATAGAGTCCAAAACCGCTCATGTAAATGCGAGTGCTACCGACGTTACAGGTAAATATTAGTTAATCGTACGTAGAGAGACGATGAATCCGTACTCTACAGATTGTATAGACCATCTTGATGGCGATAGCCTCTAGCAACGGTGGCTCAGTAAACGTATACTAGGCAAAGCCACGATTTTTTTATAGAGCAAGCCGATTGCGTCAAAGGGAACACCATCTCGTCGAATAGGGTATCCAGCGATCTGGGTGCCGACTTCGGCAACCTGCATGTATGTGGGGTATAAGACAGGACAAGCAGCCGCGTGGGAAACCAGGGGAAGCTGATCTACGACGGTAATCAGTGAGGAGCCCGCGATCGAGAGGTTGGTATCGTGAAGATCGCCGACGGCAAGACTGAGCCGCGAAGCTCATGGACTGTCGATGCACTGCAACGACCTCGTTTCCAAAATAAGGACTTTTGGTAAAGATGCCTTCTGCTAGCCGGGGATGCGGTGCTCTAAGGCATCAATCTCTCGCGAGCG